TTGGAAACTTTAATGCTGGACATTCTCTAGTGTAAACTGTAACTGTGTTCTGTGCGCCTGTATAAGAGCTGATGTTTTGTGTCTCTTTGTTGTTTAATTGTTGAAAGAAGAGGCAAGTCCCACTCAGGGGAAGCCAGTTGTGTGTGGTGGGGTTGAAAGCTTGAGAGAGGTTGCAAGAACGTCCCAGCAGCTGCCAAGAATTCTTTATCTTGGGGGCTCTTCTTGCTCTCCCTCTCAGGGTTCATCCTCCAGAAATAGTGAGTTTTCTGTCTGTCTATTTGCAATATAATTGTGGCTATTTTTTAGGGTTTCAGTTTGCTCTTTCCTTATTAATTGTGAGAATAAACAAAATCACCTTTTCTGTCAAGGAACAGTTTAGACAGCCTCCATTTTGGATTGTGACTTGGCAGCTACCATGACCGCATGGCTCCTGCTCCCAATGAAAGAGCAAGGGCGAACCCCTCCCTTTGAATTAGCCAATCGGGAAAGACTGTGTGGCTGTGCTCCAATCAAGAGCAAAAAAACATGTGCATTATTAGAGCACTCTACTTCAGAAAGGAACTTGCAAAGATTCTCAGAGTCAAGTTTAAACAGGAAACTTTAGGAGAACAGCATGTGTACAGCAGGGACACTGGCAAGCCAAGCGTCATGATTCCCTGTGGGGACGTCTGCCAGTGATACTCTGGGTATTTGATTTTCACATATTGGGAGTTTATTAATTATTTTCAATGCTCAAAACACTGCTTGCAATAAGTCATGTGCCTCATTTTAAAATCTTACATATTATTCTTTATATGTTGAAATTATAATTGAATCTGAAGGTATACAAATTTTATATTCTTCTCTATCATTTTACAGGGATTATTACTTAACAAAGAAATTGTTATCTTGGAATGTTATATTTATAGTAAAGTTTTTATCAAATATATAACCACACCACTTTAAAACTTTTGTCATTTATGGATAGCTTTATTCTGACGCATTTGTAGCTATATATGTTTAGAAAAATCCATGAAAAGGACTTGGTCTTATTCTAACTTGCAGGCTTCTAAGCAGGTCATTTTTGAACTGGATGAAGATTTATAGAATTTCAAGGAATAACTGAATTCAGAAACAGCAGGCCAATAATCAGGATAAACAATAACAACTATGGGACTAAATAAATTGAGGTTAATTATTCTTATGATTCTGTTTAAAATATTGTTGACTTTTAAACCTTTGGTTTCCCGAATATAGAGAAAAGTAAAGAGCAGACATTCTGCATTGTAGGAACTAACAAATTGGTAACAGATTCATTTCACAGTGTGCTCCCGGGAGACGAAGATTTCAAAGATCATAGCTTACAACCAGGAGATTTGGTGTATTGGAAAGACATCAAATAAAAGACTCTCTCCAACCTCGTTCGAAGGAACCTTACCAGGTATTACTAACTAAACTTAAAGGAGTTAGCTCATGGATTCACATTTCTCACTTAAAAGGGCACCTGTCTGTGAATGGACGTCTACTACCATCTCTGGTCTCTGACACCATTTCCGTCTGCAGAGGAGATCAAAGACTTTTTAAGGACAAGAAACAGCTGAGAACTTTCGAGGATGAGAAGTTGCTGACCACAGAGGCAGACAGATATCCGAAGATGACGTCAACAAGGCCTGTATGCTCACAAACTGATATTGCTTGCTTTTATATCATCTGATTGTTATTGATTGAATGTACGTAAAATGATTTTCATATTCTTATTATCCTTATGGTTCCCTAGTGGAAATAATATCTGCCTCCCAGACCTCCTCCCTTATTAAATATGAAAAATTTCACTTGGATACTTGCTAATCTTTCCACCTAGTACACTATGGTGTTCTGATTATCAGGTATGATAGTGAAATTAATGCTTTGTTAGCCACACATTCGTCTTCTACCATCAATATAAGCTTTGGTGGTTGTTGTTTTCTGGCTCTATTATAAAGGACCCACCTTAGGCAAACACCTCCAAGAATATCTCCCTGGTAATTCCACTGGTGGAATTGTAATTGGATCTAATCTAGATTAATATTATATGGTTATAGAGATAGATGATGAATAGCTAAGGAAAAAAAACTGAATATGATGGCATAAAAACCTGAATAAAAGCTTGTAGCAGCCTGCCTATCTGTCATAGCATATTATGTCCTCGGACTCACCAGCCATGCTCTTATGGTTGGATGTCTGTGAAACAAGAAAGAAATCAATGGGTCCCCATTTCAGGAATTATTGACATCACTTGGTGGGTAGATATGTTTATAATTACTCCACTGTCCTTGTGTCCTGGACTGTTGAGGAGCCCTATGGAATACCCAAACTCTAGCTCATTTGGGAGTCACCTTCACCCATTTAACTATGGCATGGGAAACTCAACATTTTTGGGTCCACTCAGTATACTCTAATTGCTCCCATGCAATAGCTACCCCATGGCAACAACATTTCTGGTGGATCCAACAACATTGGTCTCCCTAAAAGAAGGAAAAGGGGAATACTTGGAGGAGTAGGGGCTGGCCTTGGTATTCTGGACAAGCTGAACTTGCAGCTAATGAAGAACATCATTCATTAGAAAAAGATTCTTTATCTCAAATAGGTCATATAGAGGGATGCTGTTTCAGGAAGAAGGAAAAGGGTGGGAAGCAGCATGGAAAGACAATAAAGCCTTAGTTTCATGGATAGAACAGACTCGACAGATTACAAAACTAAGGCCCAAACCCAACAACAGGAATGTGCTTGTGCCCTAACTCAGCTGGGCCTGCCGTCTATGCTAATGCAAATGGAACCTGAAGTGGCTATGAAACAATGGCCAACTATAATGGCTACAGGAGCCCAGGCCAGACCCTTATGGGACTCATATGGTTTCCTAGGAATTTGGAAAATTTTGGATGGGAAACACAACCTACAACATTGTGTTTTAAAAGCCCTGTTAAATCCTAAGCTTAAAATTCCCAGTAGTTCAACTGGCTGGCGTAAGGACCATCCTCAATAATACTAGAATACTTCCAATGGGAAGTAGACGGGCCATATTTAAAAATAATAAACAATAACAAACAATGTGAACCCATCTCACTGTCTGTGAAAACTGGAAAGGTGAATGGTTATGCCTCCAATCCATATGGAATACTGAATTCACTCAGTCCTGGCCTATTGTGTCTACCCCAACAAATAACAATAGAGTATATAGAAAAGGGGCGTTTCTGCTGGGAACGGTTCAAAGCAATTTTTACTGTAATATTACCAAGTTTACATTAAATAATACCAGAATAAGATGTAATACTGAAATTATAGGCAGAATGACTTTGCCTGATGTCCATAAAATCTGTGATAATATTAATACTGAAAAAAAAACCCCACACTAATGTATTGGGAAATAGAACTCCTCCCCATGAACCATTTTTATGGGAACTAACTGGCCAGAAGAAAATTAGAGCTTCTAGATAATGAAATAGTAGAGAGTCTTAATTCATCTGGCCAAACATCATAAGGTACAAATGACAGTAGATGAAGGAGGAAAACATATAATTAGCTTAATAAAAATTATGATAATACATGTAAAGGGATTTTTGTTACCTTAAAATTTTCCTTGTCTAGTATTAGACATCTTCTGTTCCTAATCACTGCTATTGGTTTACTATTGTTACTTTTGTCCATGATATGTAAATGTTATATCAGATGCAGTAAGGCAAAATGTAAGACAAACAGCAAAAAGACTCGGATCATGGTGGCTCGAAAATTAGAAATGATCCCGAATACTTTTAAAAAATATATATATATATTTTATTGATTTTGTACAGAGAGGAAGGGAGAGAGATAGAGAGTTAGAAACATTGATGAGAGAGAGTCATCGATCAGCTGCCTCTTGCACACCTCCTACTGGGGATATGCCCGCAACCAAGGTATATGCCCTTGACCGGAATCGAACCCGGGACCCTTCAGTCCCCAAGCCGATGCTCTATTCACTGAGCCAAACCGGCCTCGGCCAGAATACATTTTAATAAGGACATATAGGATCTGACTGCCTCCCATTTACCTGCCTTTTAAAAAATATATAATTCAACCTCAAATGCCATCTAAGGTTATGGTCTTGCCTCCATTCCCAGTGGTCCACCTGTTCAGCAAGACATGCTGACACTGAGACATCCTAGGAATGAGCCTTCCTAGCGCCGTGGGACTCCATTATCCAACCAAAAGGTTGGTCATCAAGGCATCCTTTGGATTGATTAATGACCAAATGGGGGATGTGTGAAAGAAAAGAGCCACAAGCTAACCTGACAAGCTCAGAGGAGGCCTGCATGGCAGTCTTGCAAACTCAGAGACCTAAAATAACCACAAAAGATGGTTTGAAAATTAAATTTATCTAACTGCAAACAGGTTATAGTGAGTAGTCACGTGCTAGGCCGATATTTTCCCTGACAAAGATCAACTTAGATCTTCTTTCCTGAGCCCATTTGCCTTTTTGCCTCTAAGATAACACATTTGTGAGATGTCTGGGCAACTTGTAACTTCCCCTTTTCTGGAGCCGCTGGGGCACAACCAAATGTGGTGGGCGCCAGGACAGATGCCTCAAATTCCTTCGTTATCATGTTAATTGCACTCACCTAAATACCTTCCACATCATTTTACTTTTTATCCAATCCCAGGGGTTTCCCACCGCTTTGCTTTCTCCCGCCTCCTTACTCCATCACCAATGAATTTCATGTAACCCAGATGTCCCTCCTTTGATTGCAATGTATAAATACAGAAATGTAACCTGCCATTCTTTGGAGCATTATCTCAATCCATTGAGGTTCTGCTTCTCGGCATATGTGGACAGTTTGGCTCAAATAAACTCACAAAAATTCTTTACAGGTTTCAATGGTTTTTTCGTTACCAGTGGGCACTGTGGGGACACTTACTTGGGAAACACTTACTCGGTGGGCACCGCGGGGACACTTACTTGGGGGACACTTACTCGGTGGGCACCGCGGGGACACTTACTTGGGGGACACTTACTCGGTGGGCACCGTCGGGGACCCCGAGCGATGGAAGTGCACGTTCTGCCACTTCCCGTCGCGGCGGTGCCACACGCGCGTCTCCTCGGACTGCACGGTGCGGGGCTTGCCGCCGCCGTCCGTGTACTGGGTGAGCCGGATGTAGGCGATGCAGGCCGCGTCTTCGCCCAGCAGGTGCACGTGTGGGTTCAGGAGGATCGTGTGGACGGGCTTGCTGCCTTTGGACAGAGCTGCAGAGAGGAAAGAGCGCTCAGCTCCCACGTGCAGAACCACCCGCCCTTCAGCGCATCCGCAAGCAAAAGCCACTCCTTCCTCCGACCCGCGGGCCTCCTTGGAGGGAGGCCGCGGGACACGTGGTTGGCAGGACGGAGACGTGTCTGTGACGGGAAGTGGTTACAGACTGACAGGCAGGGCAGGCTCAGTCTCTGCCGTGACGGGGCCCGGGCGGCATGTGGGGCCGTGTGTGGGAGCTGTGAAACAGTCATGGGCTTCGCTCAGCATGCCCACCCAGGCCCCAGCTGCCCACCAGGGAGCAGCCAGGGCTGCGCTGGCAGTGCTGCCAGGAGGACTAGCGTGGAGGTCCGAGCAGAGGGTGCAGGTCCTCGCAGGCCCCCAGCAGGGTGAGCCACCTGACTCTTGGGCAAACCTGCTCCCGCGCTTGGGGGGATGCATGAGCTGGCGCCAGACCAGCAGTGCCCACGGAGTTCGGCGGGCACGGAGGGCACCGTGCGGAGCGTGCTGGTCAGGCAGGCGTCGCTGGCCAGCCCCGCTCCCTCCCCTGGAGCTGGGGCAGAGGGGAGGCCACCTCGGAGTCTTGGGAAGCCAGTGACCACAGTCATGGTGTCTGCTCGCAAAGGCGTTCCCTCCACAGGCTGAGCCCTGAGGGCGGGCCCCTCACGCAGCTCGCCAGAGCCGCCCGCGTCCGGGGAGGCGTTTCTGTCATTGCTCTGAAGCGTGGTCTCGGAGACCACAAAGCCTTCACCTGCGGCCTCAGGTCATTGGCCTTCGCTCTGACGGGAGCACCGGGGGGCTGGGCTGCTCTCTGACTGTCGGCTTCTTCGCTTTTTCACATGAACAATGTTTTATGAAAACTTGAAATAATGCATTTTTGGAGAATTCACTTTGATGCCTATATCACACCTTTACTGGGGTTTGTACGGGTATATTCAATCAGCATTACTTTTTATACAAAACCTGGTATTTTTCAAAACACACTAACACTTTTAACCCTGTCAATGTTTTAATGTTATTTATTTTGAGAGAGGGAGGGGGGGAGAGAGAGAAGGAGAGAGAGAAATATCAACATCCACTGGCTGCCTTCCCACTGGGGATCAAACCTGGAACTTGAGCAAGTGTCCTGACCAGGAGTCAAACCGTGACCTCTTGGTACATGGGATGACTCTCAGTCTACTGAGTCCCACCAGTCAGGGGACCCTTTCAATTTTTTTAATTTGAAATACTGAAAATACTCATTGCATAAAAGAGCCAAATAATCTGCAAACAGGAGAAATTGCGAGATCAGGGGGAAAGTTATGCCATGGATGTAGGATGACTGTACCGTTTTCAAAGTAGAACCGATGGAAGTCCATCCCTTCTACCAAGTTGCCCAGAGCTTCCGGCTCAAAAGCAGTGAGGCCCGGGTCACAGATTTTTCTGTAAGAAAAAAACCACAAAACAATGAAAATTATCAATGAAAGAATTCCCGTCTCGTGTTGTTTCACACATATCCATTCTGGTTCACCCAAGTCCGTGAGAAGAGTCTAAAAGACACCACTGTAACCCTGCCCAGGCCCTGCCTGTGTAGATGGGGAGGGAGAAGAGGAGGAGCAGACCCCACGTGACGGGAAGACTGGCACCCGGGCCCACAGGTGCCTTCCCGCGCCTCCGAAGCTGCTCCAGCTCTAAGGGATTGTGTGCACCCGCTGCCCTAGCCCACCAAGCCCGCTCTGGCTCTGAAAGGAACACGTTTGGGCGACTTGTTACCCCTTCTCCATCGTGACACACTTGTACGTATGTCTGACCGCCATGAAAGCAGCTGTCACATCCCACACTTCCTGCAATGTTCGCAAGCTTAGGCATCCTCTGCTTAAAGTTTAACTTTCAACATGGAGTTGATGAGTGGTTCAAATGCAGTTTTCCTTTTAATCCTAGAAGTCCGATTCAACAAAGCGCTGCACTGTTTTACATACGTCTTCAGAGAGCCAATGGGCTTTCCTTTAACACCCATTATGTGGCAGGCACTGTGCTAAACAAACAGTTAGAGCACAGCAATGAACCCGAAAGCGGAATAAGCAGAGTCTCCATGAGCAGGCCACTTGCACTCAAGACGAACAGGCTGAGGAGAGGAAGGAGTCGGAGCCGGCTCTTCCGTCTGGGCAGTTTCCTGGAGGGCGTGGGCAGGCAGGGGCCGGCAGAGCTGAAGCACAGTGGCTCCGGGACGCGGGCGGCCTGCTGGAGCATCGCTGGGTGTGCAGAAGTCCCCGGGCACGCGGGAGGCAGCTCCCGGATCGGAGGGCATCCCAGGGAGTGACACAAACTCTGGGCGTGAAGAATTCGTGGACGTTCACACGGGAGACGGAAGCCGCCACGGAAGGGTTCTGGACTAATTCCTGTTCTGCTGGGTCGGCACACAGATTCCATAGGGCAAGTCCCCCCTGGGGCGGGAGGACGCTTTCACTGCCAACAGAACTCCCGCATCACAGGCAGACGCACTGCGTTCTGGAGCCCGTTCGCAGGACGCGGGGCTGAGGGTAAGAACGCCGAGGATGCAGTTATAGATGAAGCATCATGGTGGCTGCTCCATGGTCAGAAAGCCTGGAAGGGCGTGGGAGGGGCATGGGCTTTGCCTGAGACTCCGGTGGGCTGGTGGTATCAAGCTCAACGCTAACACATCCAGGCTCTTTCTAAGGAGCCATGGGAAGCACAGTGTTGCCATGGTGACCACAGGCTTGTGCGGGGCTAGGGCTCCTCCAGAGATGACGTGGCTGTCAGCACCGGGGAGCCGAGCTCTTCCTCGCCCACCGCACGCTCGCTGAGACCGCTCGCTATGACAACCCCTCAGCCAGCCATGGAGACTCCATCGATCTGAAAACCTGTTCACCTGTTCTCTCATGCATGATGCACATACATGTCCCTCCCGTAAGCACTCTGCATTAAGACACGGCTCAGGAAGCTGCATGTGACCTGTGGGTGCGTGCTCGGGACAGGGTCTCAGGCAGGCGGTTCATGAGAGAGGGTGCAGCCAGGCCACCACAGGCCAGGGCACCAGGACTGAGGGTCTCCGAGAGAGCGCATTGCTTGAAACGCCCTTTGAACGGAGAAGCAGGGAGTCCCGTTTGCCACTCTGCCTGGCCGTGCCCAAGGGCGCGTACTTCTGTCCCACAGGGGACATGCGTGCGCTCGGAGCTGAGCAGGAAGCGGCTCTGTCTGGAAGGGCACCTGGTGCAGGAGCACGGGGGCAGGTGTCACTCCAGGCCACATCTGGAGCTGAGGCCTGTACTAGCACACACACCCTGTAGAGCAGTCTACACAAACGCATATGTGCATGCCTGCACCAGCACACATGTAACGTGGGGAGCAGTGCCGGCCTTATTCAGACTCACGCTGTCACTGTCTGCAGGAGCCGCCTAGTGCAGCCGATGCTTAGGGAAATAACTCCTCACATCGAATTCGGGAACAAGTGGGAATCCCCAATTTGTTCTCCCAAAAGCAGCCTAGCTTTTTCCTTTTAAAAAACAATCTCTCGTTTTCTCCCGTTATGCTGATGCCACTGGAATCTTCTGGAAACACGCTCACATCCCGCTTGACCTTCAGTGACTGCACGCGCCGACAGTGCCACCATCTCTCTGCCCCGCCTGGCTGCACCACGGCCCCTCGTGGCGCCCGCGCCATGGACAGGTGTTTCCATCTGTTAGGAACGTCGCTTCAACACACATCTCGGTTCGGGGTCTTGTCCATGTGTCAGACGTAAAGCCCAGGGCCAGGTGACACGCTCGTGGGTGGAATCCTCGGCCTCAGGTGAGGGGACTGCCTAACCATCTCCTCCAACGGCAGCACGCCACGGCCAATGCGCTTCAGCCAAGGGCGGCTCTCACTCTCAGCACCGCCCGGGAGCTTCTGCTCACTACGCACCTGCTGCTGCCTGCCTCCGTTTCCGTTCAGACAGCCAGCCAGTCATTTCCTCACGGCGGCCACTCCCTCTGCTTTACTGAGGCGGCCCAACCACAGTCAGACCCTCTCTGCTGCGAGGGAGCAGCCGGGGCAGGGGGTCCAGCTGGGGCAGGGGGAGCAGCTGGGGCACGGGGAGCAGCCGGGGCAGGGGGTCCAGCTGGGGCAGGGGGAGCAGCTGGGGCAGGGGGAGCAGCCGGGGCAGGGGGTCCAGCTGGGGCAGGGGGAGCAGCCGGGGCAGGGGGTGCAGCTGGGGCAGGGGGAGCAGCTGGGGCACGGGGAGCAGCCGGGGCAGGGGGTCCAGCTGGGGCAGGGGAGCAGCTGGGGCAGGGGGAGCAGCCAGGGCAGGGGGTCCAGCTGGGGCAGGGGAGCAGCCGGGGCAGGGGGAGCAGCCGGGGCAGGGGGTCCAGCTGGGGCAGGGGGAGCAGCCGGGGCAGGGGGAGCAGCCGGGGCACGGGGAGCAGCCGGGGCAGGGGGTCCAGCCAGTGCACGGGGAGCAGCTGGGACAGGGGGTCCAGCTGGGGCAGAGGGAGCAGCTGGGACAGGGGGTCCAGCCAGCACACGGGGAGCAGCCAGGGCAGGGGGAGCAGCCGGGGCAGGGGGAGCAGCTGGGGCAGGGGGTCCAGCCAGCACACGGGGAGCAGCCGGGGCAGGGGGTCCAGCTGGGGCAGGGGGAGCAGCCGGGGCAGGGGTTGCAGCCAGCGCACGGGGAGCAGCCGGGGCAGGGGGAGCAGCCGCGGCAGAGGGTCCAGCTGGGGCAGGGGGAGCAGCCAGGGCAGGGGGTGCAGCCGGGGCAGGGGGAGCAGCCGGGGCAGGGGGAGCAGCCGGGGCAGGGGTTCCAGCTGGGGCAGGGGGAGCAGCCGGGGCAGGGGGAGCAGCCACGGCAGAGGGTCCAGCTGGGGTAGGGGGAGCAGCCGGGGCAGAGGGTCCAGCCGGGGCAGGGAGAGCAGCCGGGGCAGGGGGTCCAGCTGGGGCAGGGGGAGCAGCCAGGGCAGGGGGTCCAGCTGGGGCAGAGGGAGCAGCCGGGGCAAGGGGAGCAGCCGGGACACGGGGAGCAGCCGGGGCAGGGGGTCCAGCCAGTGCACGGGGAGCAGCTGGGACAGGGGGTCCAGCTGGGGCAGGGGGAGCAGCCGGGACAGGGGGTCCAGCCAGCGCACGGGGAGCAGCCGGGGCAGGGGGAGCAGCCGGGGCAGGGGGTTGAGCCAGCGCACGGGGAGCAGCCAGGGCAGGGGTCCAGCTGGGGCAGGGGGAGCAGCCGAGGCAGGGGGAGCAGCCGGGGCAGGGAGAGCAGCAGGGGCAGGGGGAGCAGCTGGGGCAGGGGGAGCTGAGACCAGTTTTCACCTCACAGTCAGGCGGAGCTGCTGAAGGTGGAGGCTGCCTCACATTGCTGACACCCCTCTCCCCACGCCCCTCTGCCTTGTGCTCCTCTCCCCGCGCCCCTCAGCCCTGCACCCCTCACCCGGCGACCTGCGGAACTGCGAGGACATGTTGAGCGCCCTTGTCCTCTCTGCTTCCGCCCCCACAGAGAACCCCTTCCCTCTCAGAAGTCCTCCTCTCCTGAAACGCTGACAGGCCTACCGACTCCTGGGCACGAGTCCTTCCCCGTGAAACGCCAGGAAGGCTGCTGCAGACACGAGCCGGGGCCCCGAGGACGCCTGCCCGCACACGGCCCGGCCCCCGCCCGCACTCACGTGTACGCCTCGAAGTCCCCGTTGTTGATGGCCTCGATCAGCTGCTCTGTGACCTTGATGATCTCCTGCTTCCGAGCTAAAGGCAAAGGGACAGGCCGGTGAGAACGAGGCCCAGGCACCCCCCCGCTCCGGACACGGCCTTCCCCCCTCTGGCGCCGCAGCGGACAGCCCCCGGCAGCCGCCTCCCTCACACGGCTCAGCAGCGGCCACCCACCCGGCTCTCCACCGGGGCCTTCTAGGCCTCTCAGGACCACAGTCAGGGCTGCGCCCCCAGGTGGCCACGCCCTGCTGCTTGTGCACAGCGCCCTAAGGCCCAGGTTCTGTTCTCATTTTTTATTAAAATAAACGAGCTCAGTACCAGGTTTATTTCAAATTTTAGGCTTAAAAATGCTTTTATTTCAGAGAGAGGAAGGATGAGGGAGGGAGAGAGAGAAATATCAGTGATGAGAAACACTGATCGGTTGCCCCCTGCACGCCCCACAGGGGGATAGAGCCAGCGAGCCGGGCATGTACCCTGACCCCCTGGTTCATAGGTCAATGCTCAGCCCGGGCACGTACCCTGACCTCCAGGATCGAACCCGGACCCCCTGGTTCACAGGTCAATGCTCAGGCCCACCCACAGCGTTCGCTCCCGCTCCGCACAAGGAAGCCCCAGAGCCCGTGCCTGAGGGGCCTTCAGGGAGCTGACTGCACGGCGCAGGGCCGGGGCCACTGCTCACACGGTCACCATGGGCGTCCACGCCGCCCCGTGCAGGACCTTCGCCCCAGCCCACCCTGCACGCTAACAGCTGGCGTGGCTGGGGTTCCACCTGGAACTTTCCTGCACACACCGCCGCCGGTCCCGTCCGAGCCCCTGGGCAGCACAGCCGCTGCCTCCCGGGCCCTCCTGTCCCACGTGACCCGTGCAGTGACCTCTGAGGCTGGGTGGGCTCTGGCTCTGACTGCACCCTGAAGGCCGCCGCTCTCTGTTGCCCTGAAACCCCGGAACTCTGCAGAGCCTGTGCTGGAGCAGGAGCCCCCCCCCCCCCCCCAAGGCCCCAAGGCCGGCTCCTCCTCCACGTGGGCTCCCCTCGGGCCTCCCAGACTCCATTCCGCCACCCTGTGTCCTGGTTGCTACGGCTCGTCCCTCTCTGAGCCCTGCAGCTGCCCCTGCCCCACCCTCACAGGCCTCCGGTGACGGGCAAGGCCGACCAGCAGCGCAGGGAGAGGTCAGCCGCTGACCTGTGGGCCCTGCGGAGCAGTCACCTCCAGGAGCTACTGCGTGATTATCCAGAGGAGCCGGCCGTTAGGCTCCAGCGCCTCCTGCTCACACCCGACTGCAGACGTCCCCACGCCATCCAGGGTCAGCACAGCTCTCCTCCCTGTGGACTCTGCACTCCCAGCACCTCCTCGCTCACCTCTACCCCCATTTTCCATGGACCCTGGGAGTCCTCTCACAGCTGCCCCCATACCACATGGGAGCGTGCCAGCACAGCAGGCCCAGGACGGACCGGCTCCCCCGCCCTGTCGCTGGCATCCAGCCGGCGCCCAGCACCCCTCTGGCCAGCACGTGGCGACAAGCCCTTTCGTTAGGACGTCGCTGGTTTACCAACAGGTGCTCACAGGTCTGACGGGGACCGACCACTTCCTCCTCCCACCAGGACGGAGCGCTGGGCGCCGGAGCCTACGCAAACGCCGGAGAGACCCGTCTGTGCACACGAGTCCCTCTGAGGACACGCCGTGCCAGCACACGGCGATGCCATCCCGTCTGTGGTCGGGGTTGTCGCAGCCTCAAGCCAGCAGGACACCCCAAACGAGGCCCGAGCAGCCGGCACAGGCGCAGTGAGATAAGCCGCGTGGTGAGCCAGTTCCCTCGAGGGAGCGGAAGGCAGAGAGGCCCGGTGTCAGAGGCTGCAGCGGCCTCTGGAGCCACCGGTCTGTGGAGGGAGCTCCTTCCACCCGACGCAGGAGCCAGCCGGTCTGCCATGAGCCGGCAGGAAGGGAGCCCGCCTCACGCCTCAGGTGGACCTCATCCAGTGTGAGCGGGTGGCTCACACTGTGAGAAGAAACACGCCATCTTTTCTGTCAAAGAACAGTTTAGACAGCCGCCATTTTGGACCACGTGACTTGGCAGCCGCCATGTTGGCCGCCTGGCTTGCAGCGCCCCTGGGGGCCGCCCTCTGAATTAGCCAACAGCGAAAGACTGTGCACCTGAGCTCCAATCAGGAGCAGAGGACAGGTCCCTGCGTCAGGGTTATAAAGCTCCATGTGCTCGCCTTCCAGACCGTGTGTGTGTGTGTGTGTGTGTGTGTGTGTGTGTGTGTGTGTACACCTTCTACGTAGAAGTATGCCTGCCTGCCGCCTGGCTGCTGAGTGCTGTGTGTTCTACCAGGACCTGACTTGGGGGCCGCCTTATTGCTAACACACTGAACCCGGAGCTCCGCCTGACGGCGTGCCTCTGCAGCGGGCGGCGCACAGGGCACGGCCCGCCTGTCCGGGCTTCTGTCTGCTCGCTGTCCGCTCTCTCTCCCCTCAGAGCCGGCTGGGGCTGCGAGGCGGGGCGCACAGGCTGGGCTGGGCGGAGCGGTACCTGGCTCAGGCGCCTGCCGCTCAGCAGCTCCTCCAGCCCCTGGTGCGGGCTCCGTATTCAGAAATCGTCATCTTAAACGAAGCACTAAAATGCCTCTGGCCTTGCCGAGCTCGCCTGACACTGAGTGACGGGCCAGGACCGTGACTCCTCCCCGCACACCCCCGGGAGCGGTGCCTGTGGCTTCCGGTCTTCCCGCCGCCGTCAGCAAAAGCAACCACAGCCAGGGCCGCTCTCTCTTCCCTGGTGCTTTAATGGGAGCCTCGCCTCGCGGGCAGTTTCCCGCCAACTAGCAGCTGTTCTTAGCGGCCAGACCCCTCACAAGTCGACCTGTTGGTTAACGTGGAGAGTCACTGCCATTATTTTGGCCCCTGGAATGGCTTAATAACTGTAACATTCTACTTAACTATAAGGCTTGGGAGCCACCACCTTTCTACTAGAGATGCTTTAGGAAATACCCACAAGTCACCTGTTCAATGAGCCTCAAGATAAAAAGTTAAGTTACTGAAGCCACTTTGTACTTTGCTTGACCAGAGGCCGGGCAGTCTGTCCAGGGGCCGGGCCAGCGCAGGTGGGTCAGGCGGCCTCCTGCCCAGCCTGGGGCTTTGCAGCCACTGCAGACCCAGCCTGACCTGGCCTATCCGCGGGTCACCCTGACCACTGCCCGTGCCCATGCTCCAACCAGGCAGGTGATGTAGGAGAGGTCCACGGCAGAGATGTCACGTTAGAAATGGAGGGAAGAGATGGCGGTACCTTGGAGCAGACTCCTGCAAGGGCGGGTGGGAGCAGTGTATTCTGAAGGACAAGCAGGAGGACTGGCTGAGAGACTGGCCATAGGTGAAGGCGAAGCTGAGGAGACACGCTGTTCGATGGGGACAGGAGTGTTGGAGACACAAGGCCCTACCCCGTCCGGGTAGACTCACTCGTCTGTGAAGAACTCGGATGCAGGAGAGCAGTGCAGCTGGACAGACGCTGTGCGCAGCACAGACAGGACAGGAAGGGAGGGGACGGAGGCACGTGTCTTGGAAGTGTCAGCGTGAATGGTGTTCGGGATGTAAACTACAACCTAAGCAACATGGCATTGTCTTACAGCGAGTTTTTATATTTGTTTTTAAAGAAAACACAACTGAAGTCTGAGAGTGGTCAGACCTCAGCACAGTGCTTCCATCTCCTGCTCTGCTCTGAAGGTCACCAGCCACCAGAGGCACCTGCCCTCGAGGACCAGCCGCAGGCCAGGGCGCTGCCACGCAGCCAGCCGGTTGTGCCAAACACGGTGTGACTGTCACGAGGGCAAACCCTGCTCCACAGCCCCGGCCAGGGAGCTGTCCCCATCCCATCGGAGCGAGGAGAAGAGCTGCCCCTCCTCCACCACCAAGGCAGGCTTCATTCACGCGCTAAAGGAACTGTCCCGACCGGTGGCACTCCGGGGAGGGGCCCCCAGGCAGCCTCACAGCCTCTCCCCGCTGCTCCACACCCAGCACACAGTAGGTGCTCAACAGTCTTCTCTAAGAACTGGAGTGCCCCCAGTATGTCACCCGGTGCTGCCTTGTTAGGAATTCCATATCCCGAGCACCACGGAAACCTGTGGACTGGCTCACAGAGGACTGTTTCAGTGGACGTGGACGTTACTCCTTGTTTTAGAGTTATCTGGACACCAGCCAGAGGCCAAGACGGTCATTGTCACGCAGCACTGTCTAGTCTCTTCCGGTGCTGCTCACGGGCAGGAAGCGTGGCTCTCACCGCACAGCGCAGCTGCAGGCCCCGCAGGACATGGCTGCACGGCACGGACGATGGAGACACCACTGCTCCGATGCCAACGGTGAAATCTCTCACTTCGAGGGGCCCCTCCGCCGAGCGCCTTGCCTCAGCCACGCCCCTCTGCTTCCTGCGACACCGTGGGTCTCCCGGACCCCAGTGCAAACCAGGTCACCCAGGGGAACGCTCTGCGACAGCCACGGACCAGAGAGCAGGGTGACGGCGGCTGGTTCCGGGGTGCACGTGCATGAGATGGTGCCAGGGGTGGCGAAGACACCTGCTCAGCTACGGGACCTGGGCAGCTGCCCCGAGGAGTCAGGACTATGTTGCGAAGGACAGGAAGCCCGCCAACGCCCACTCAGCACTGCCACCGTCATCAGCAGACCCTCCTTGCCTAGGAATGGTTTCCTGGGTGCAGGCAGCACAAGCACAGGTGTTTCCTTCTGACTGGTCCAGTCACAAGTTGGCATGACGTTTCTAAACTGTCACTACCAGTTTAACATCACCACAACGTGCTAAGATCCCACCTGCTGTCTGTGGAGTACAGAAAGGAGTGCCGTGTGGGAAGACCTGACAAAGTCTGCACATGTAACCAAACTCCAATAGAACGCTAACACGGAGGAGGCTGTTTCTGTATCCGGACCGGCCCGTCCCTAACAGCACTGGTGATTTAAAACGAACATGGTCTGACACACATGGAGCTCGGAGGGGCGCCCACTCCTGCCCCTCATACCTTTCACATCTTCGTCCTCGATCGTCGTGTTGGAGCTCTCCGTGGACTCCTGCGGAGAGGAAAACACACAGGTTGCAAACAGTGAACAGCCTGGCTTATTTTCTTCCTAGGAAACCGGCGAGTGATGCTCACATCATGCAAACCCCTCAGCAGGCGTGTGCATATCTGCATGCAAACGGACAGACACATCCTATGGCGTTCACAGAAATGAAATGCCAAACGCTGCAAACACGGGGAAGGGGCACCCGCGGCCTCACCTCGGAGCGGGACGGCGGCGATGGCACACAGCCTAAGGCCGTGCCTTTCAGGACTGAGGGCCGTCTGGCACAGCGCCCCAGGTGCGCTCTATGTGTCTGTGAGAAACTGGCTCTATTAGCCTAAGGAGCCGGAACCTACAACAGAACAACGTGGTCCTCCATCCGGCACCAGGAAGCGGCCCTTCTCCGGCTGGGGGGCCACGAGCAGGGCCGCACGGCCTGCCCCTCTGCGGCTCACCCTGCAGAGAGCGAGCTCCGGCCCCACGAGGGGCGCGGGCGCTGAGAGCCGGACGTGCCTCCCGGAGCGGCTGCGCGGGCAGCACCATGAATGAGAGCGAGTCACTGACTCTCGGGACAGTTAGGTTCTCTCACTCTGAGGCAGCACTGGCTGTCATGACAACGAAAAACAGCTACTCTGTGAGCCCCAGTGCGGCCGGGCTGGGAGCACAGCCGAGGGCCCGTGCCCGCCGGGGCCACTCCTCACAGCGGCTGGCACCCTTTCCGTCCAGTGGAGAAACTCGCATTCCTAAGATGCTCCAGTGACCAAAGGCCAGAAACAAAACAACTGGACAGCAACTCCCTCTCGGCAGCTGTGTGCTCAGGGACAAAGAACAACTTTTGAAAACACCAGCCAGCGTCGCTTTAGAGATTCAATATTCAAAAAAGCGATCCACTTATACGATGACCACAGCGAGTATGTAAACCAAAGGGACAGACCGTCAGCTGTGCAGGGTCTCCGTCCACCCAGAGCCAGATCCTCCTGCCGGGGCCGGGCCTGGCGCACCTTCAGCTCGCGAGGAGGCGCAGGCACTACACACAGACGTCCACAGAGCCAGGCAGCCATGCAGCAGGCCCCCCCCCCCCCCCCCCCCCCCGAGCCACCAAGTGGCCCGGCCGTGCACTGGCCTTGCCTGGCTGACACCCTGCAAACCCGGGCTCGTGTGGGACACTCCTCAGCAGTTCCAGGTGTTAGGGACCAAGGGCAGCGACTTCCCACCCGCACGCCACAAGGATGTTGAAAACATGCCAGGGACACTGCCTGCTTTCCCTCAGACGGTGAAACAGAAAACGACAACAGCCGGCACAGCACCGTGGTGTGAGTGAACCCACATTCTGCGCAGACTGAGCAGCCAGCATAGGTGCCAGAGGTGGAAAAGGTGGGGAGTCGCTGCCTTAGACCATTTTAAGTGTCATGACTCCAAATACGGCTCCTAACAGAGAACGAAGCACATTCCGGTTTTTACTCTAACGATTTTAAGCCGACCCGCGCGACTTTAAACCAGAGACTGTGTTCTGACGTCCATGTTGCTGCTAACAGTGACAGACAGACCAGGCCTCGCCTGTGAAAGTAGGAGGATGCCAGCCGGGCCCAGAGCACGCTCAGAAAGTCTCCTTCCCCAGGCGGGCACACAGCTGGCCACGCAGTGAGGACGCCGTGTGGACGGACACGCACAGGCTCCTCTCAGCACAACCAGTCACACGTCTGCTGCTGACATGCATGTATTTCCATAAAAACGTTTCCCAAGCGAACTTCCTTATTCTCTGCAAATTCATGCCAAATAACACAACACCACCAATCGGGAATTAGAGGAAAAACCACTATAACAACAGAGTAATGCACTCAAAGCAACATTAACCCTGAACCCAAGCTCTGAAGACAGAGAAATGACACAACAAGAAATTCTAACTTCCATGCAGACACACGTCAGTGCAATGAGACGGGAGGGGAGGAGGGCGGGGGTGGCAGAAAGAGCGACGGACTCGCGGAGGACAGTCATTTGGACAGAAGGACGCTGCTGACCGACTTTTAGTGGCTAATGGCACCCATGTCTCTCAGGGTGTCATTCTTTGCCTGTTCTGAGAGAGGGTGCAGCACTCAGTCCGTCAGGCCACAGGAAGTGTGGTGGCAGCGGGCAGGCTACCCTACTTCAGCAGCTAAGTCGCTTTGTGCGGGGTGAGGAGTGTGATGGGAGCACGAGGCCGCCCTGCCCTCTCTGCGTACCTTGTTTCCATCAGGGCTGTGGATCACAGTGGTTTGGGGCTCCTGAGTGAGAGCAAATGGAGAGAGAGCAGTTCGCATGGTAAGTATACCGTGGCGGTGCAGGAGCGCCGAGCAGCCCGCAGCACCCGGGCAGCGGAAGCGATGGAGCGGCATCAGGGCTGCGGAGGCAGGCGCAACGGAGGCCTCCGGGGCCGGCCCAGCCCAGCCCAGCAGCAGCGTGCAAAGGCCTGACTCATCGGCACAGACCGGTGACACCGGAGACTCAGAGGCAGCCACTGTCCAGCCGCACCAGCCCTCCCTGGCACGAGCCTGCCGCTCTGCCCGCGCTGGCCAGGGTGCGGTGCCCGCACTCAGAGGACACAGTTCTTGCTGAAGACACTTTCCAGCTGCAGTGTTCTCAGGACTGATGATGGTGCGGACACTATCATTAACACCCAAATACATACTCTTGGAAAGTCTCCAGCGGACTACACTTAAACAAGTACTATCGTAAAGAGCAAATCTCAAATGTCCACGAAAAACTCTAAGGGACACTGAAAGGGCTTACTTAACGGGTTCTTTCTAGAGCCATAAAACCATAGTAATTTGAGACACAGGCTGCTGAGTCCGTTTTAGTCGATCCACACGTTAACTTTTCTGCTTTATGGGCTACAGTAACGTGCACAGGGGCGCGTCAGTCAGTCCAGCTTTCTCCATAGGGAAGTGTTACTTTCCCTTTCCCTCTTTTAAAAGGGTATTGTCTTTCCTACTGCTTCCGACCAGGAAAGGGGCACGCTCCCGAGTGGAGACCAGTCAGCCCGGGCGGACAGCGCCTGGTCAGCAGGAATCCCTGCCGTGCGCGCCCTCCCGGGAGCCTGGGAGCCCCGCGGCCGCCCTCTCCCTGCGGGCCCTTTGGGTGCACTGAGCTCGGGGAGGGAACCCGCGTCTCCACGTCTGTCCTTTAACTGTACTAGTAAGTGGAGTACATTTGGGTTCATTTAGAATAGCAGAGGACAGTAAAGAACCAGGAACATTTCTGAAAATCATCATCGATCCAAACAGGAAACCGTTCAGGAGACAGAGTGTGGAACTCAGAGCAATGAACTCGTTTCCCAATCGCACTGCGGGGCAGAAATGGCAGGCCGGTGCTGTGCTGGGGTTTCCTTCTCTGGAGGGAGTGAAATGACCTTCAGTGAGTCCACAAAGCGCAGACTGGAAATCCAGCGCCTCTTCATCGGGCAGAGCAGGGGAGGGCAGTCCGCCTGTCGCGTCCGCAGCCAGCAGCCCGCCCTGCGCCGGCCGCCAGCGCTGCCTCTGAGCCTCCCGCAGCCACGCCACGAGCAGCCAAGCGCATTCGCCGCCCCTTGGGCACATGCAATGTCACCGCGAGAAGCGGCCACGCTCAGCCATGGAATGAAGGCATCATGTTAGCCACATGCTGCCTGACAACCACCTTAACAAAGAGAAAAGGAAACAATGAACGTGCCCGTATCTCAGAAAGCAAAACCAAAACCAACACCAAAGCCCAACAGAACGTGTGTGTAGTCTGTACACAGGGCACAGAGCAGAGCAGAGCAGCGAGCACGCGGGGTCGCTGTACCAGCGCCGGGGCGGGGGCGTTCTCTTGGGGGCTAGTTACCACGTTGGCTCTGTTGTTTATCTGTGGGTCGCAGAAAACAGAGAGACACCTTAGAGCCTGGCAGCAAAGGTCTCCCTGCAGCGCCCACGCGGAGATACCGACCCGGAACACGGTGTGCCTCAGCGTGGGAGACGCCGGGGACCGCAGGAGAGGAGCCCAGCCTCAGCCCCGAGGGCACGGCGACCCAGAGCAGGCGCGGGCGCGCACCTCAGCCACGCTGTCCACGCGGCTCTGCCGCTGGCTCCGGTTCACTCACTCTGGGCCAAGCTCGCCGCAGACCACCGTCCTGAGCCCCGTCCCTTTGCTCCGAGAAAACTCATCTGGTGGAACCCAGGCTTTAAACATGTTTCTGACAAGGAGAAGTCTGGGTCTCCATCGTAAACGGACAACTGCACTCTTCCAACTGTGAGCTCCTTCCCTCTTCACGGGGAGGAGCGCCCGCTGCTACCACGGAGCTCTCCCTGTGACCAGCGGGGCCCCCCCCCCCCCCCCCCCCCCCCCCCCCCCCCCCCCGGCACAGGCCATGTCCCCGCGGAGGCCCTGATCGCCACTGTCAGGGCTGCAGCCGCCAAGGAGGCTGCAGACAGAAGCCGCGTGAGGCTGCAGCTGAGCTCGGACCTAAACGTCACAGACTAAGGCCGCAATCAGCAGCCATCTAAGCTCGTCCCCTGAACTCACACTGACAACTTAGTGTGGCCTGAACTGACAGGAGCGTGCTCATCTCCTTCACCGCCTTCGCTACGCGTTTCCTCTCCGCTATCGCCTAAGGAGCACCCACAGTGCAGTCTGGACGCACACACGGAGTGAAGACAAGCACATGCTACAGAGAGAGTGCCGAGCAGCAGCTGCCAGCGGTCACACCCAGGCACGGTGTGGGCTTGCTGGGAAGCCGCCTGCTTTACACCAGAGATCACGCCATCCAGCTCCGAGGAAGATGGGGGCTCAGCATGGACCCAGGTCCACACGTGTCTTCTCTAGCTGCCACCCCTGCGTGCCCAGTGGGCGGGTGGGACCTGCTGGGGACACGGGGAGCAGAGCCGGGCCTCGCTGGAGAAGCTTGAGACATCGGTCTGTCTTTGGCGGAGAGCTGGTGGGGAACTTTTCTTTCAACAGAAGGCACAGAACTTAACGTGAATGTTGTGCAACATCCCGAAAGAGGCCAGAGGAAGTGGGTCCACCGAAGACGGCACAGAACGCACAGCAAAGGGCAGGCGGCCCAGCAGTGCCCTCCTGGGAGCTGTGCCGGCCACGCAGCCCTCGGCCTTCCCCGGACAGAGGGCTAGGTGCACTGGGAGCCCAGAACCGGCTCATCTTGGTGCCGCTGTCCCCCACGCACACCTCTGCCGGCATCTGCACAGATGGGCACACTGCGCACAGCACACACGCCACCTCCTCCCCATCTCGCGTCCTGGGTCAGGCTGTGTTTAAAAAGTCTCTGTCACGGTAGATCAGCCAATGAGATTTCGCGGTAAGTGTGATACTGACTAATTGAAAACGAGAGGAGAGTTTCTGAGTCACGCTGGAGGCCTGCCTTGCGGAGGGTCCAGCACCAGGCGGGGCGCAGTGCCTGCGAGCCGATGGGCGCCCTGGCAGTCAGGAAAAGCAGCCCTTTCATATGTGGAAGCCCAGTATTTTCCTCTTAAAAGAGCCACGTCAAATCCGATATTTAAAGCTGCACGGATTATCCTCTGCGGCACAGCCAAGGCGCTCCTGTTTCTCGGTGGCCATGTTCTCCTTCCAGGTTCATAAACGTGTCCTCGGCCAGGACGGCCACATGGTCCACCCTGCACTGTACGTGAACTCCGAGGGTGTTACAGCGATCTGCACCGCAGTCACCCTATTTTAGCAACACATCGTCATCTAAAAATAACCCGTCTTGCCCTGGCTGGTTTTGCTCAGTGGATAGAGCGTTGGCCTGCAGACTGAAGGGTTCCCTTCGGTTCTTGGTCAGGACACTTGCCTGGGTTGTGGCTCGCTCCCCAGTAGAGGGCGTGTAGGAGGCAGCCGATCAATGATTCTCTCTCATCATTGATGTCTCTCTCTCCCTCTCCCTTCCTCTATGAAATCAATAAAAATACTTAAAAAATAGTTTAGTAACAAGCATGCTACGAACATTAAGAAAAAACAAGCCTGTCTCTCTACGACCAGTAAACAGACAGCAGTGCCTCCTCCTCCCGTCAGCTCCGGAGGCAGCGGGGCCTTGTCCCGGGCAGCCCCTCGCAGCGCCCGGGGAGCCGGCTACTCCTCCGCCAGCACCTTCAGGTGCCGCGGGGACTGGCACTGCCAGCTCAGCGGCGGGCTGGGTGCTGTCCGCACCACCCTCTGAACACTGAGTGGACTGACTGGCCAGAGAGCAAGGAGAGAAGCGTGGCGGGAGGGTTGGTAAGCACGCAGCTCCGAGCGCAGCCTGAGGAGGAGCTGTAGTCTCTGAAGAACGCTCTGGGAGCATTTCTGCAGGAGGAGCCGGGAGCGCCGAGTCCCTGACCCCCCCGGAACCGCGGAGAGTAAACCCCCGGGAGCCGTGCGGCCACCACGCTCCACCCGAGCTGACCGGAAAGGCTGACGGCCCTGGACCTGGCACTGAGGGGGAGCCTGGGCCACGAGAGAGGGAGGCGCCGTCCTCCTGGGCAGGCGGTGAGGCAGGACGGGCACACGCGCACCAACTGGCCTTTCCACGTTACCCTTTCCAATGGCTTTGGGTCAAGGTCAAACAGTGGGACAGTATGGGTTTCCGAGAGGCTGTCTGCGGCAGGCAGAGTGGAAGACGGCGGCTAGCACTGGGAGGATCAACACGGTCACCAGAGTCCGTGAAGCCTGTGGACGGGGGCAGCGGCGGGTTCTGTGCAGAAACCGCGGCCGTGGCGATGGGCTGCTCTCCCTCCCAACGTCCCGTGAGCTCCTCCGGGCCTGGGGGCGGGAACTCCAGGAACCCAGCACACACCTGGGAAAGGTCTGGTTCCCACACTTCCAGGTCGCCACATTGGAAATGTAGAAACGGATTGGACACTCCCTTGCCATGGCAGCTCGTATGGCATCAGTGCTCGCCACCGTGTGTGACATCATGTGACACCACGGGAGCCACACCGACGCCCGGGGACGCACTGCAGCGGCACCCGGTCCAGCAGGACTCACCTTCACTCCGTCCGGCTTCTTCAGCAGACTCTTGGCCGCTGCAAAACGAGAGAGACGTGTTAGCCAGCCCCGCGCGGGGCCCGCCGGCCCAGACGGTCGCCGTCGCCCAGCGCCGCTGAGCCACGGCACATGCCCAGCTCCTGGGGCAGACACACGGCTGCTCCCAGGCGCTTCAGAGCTCTGTGCACAGAAGCGAACATGTGGCCAGTCCTGCCCCTGGCCGTCCCTGCCGGCAGGAGGCCTCGGGCCTTCGCCAGCGGCTGTCCGCGGACATGCAGCCCCGCTCCTCAGTCCTGCTCCACAGTCTCCCTCACTAGTGGGAATTTCTCTAGCAAAATGACATCTTTTGAAAATATATATTTTTGAAATCAGATCATTTCACTTTTACAGAAATGTTAACAACTGTATTTAAAATAAAATGGTCTATTGCTGACCTACTTTAAATCCTTAGGTATTCTTCTCTGCTTCAAAGTCAGAATAACAAGGCTTCAAAATCAAAAGCCACTTACACCAAAAAGTTAAAAATCACACAACCTGAGGTCAGACACGAAACAAAGTAAAACCTCCAACTCAGCGAGAGCTCGGGGCGCGCGCGGCCAGCGGCCTCCCCGGCAGCTCCGGCAGCTGCTGAGCCCGCAGCGGGGGCGCGGGGCGGACAGCGGGACCAAGCGCTGCCGAGAACGTGGTGTCGGAGCGAACGCCTGGTGTACCGGAACCCTATGCACACCCAGTTCCCTGACGTCGCCTTTCCTTGCACGGAACTGTGGCAAAACTTTAAACTATTTAAGACACAAAGCCTGATTTTATGTAGTTCTTAGCAACACGGCTCTGATTTACTAGTAACTGGGAGTGTGAGAAATTCTTGTCTTGGCGACAATACTACTCGCCTGGAGCTAAAGAGCAACAATGAGCAAATCCTGGGCCTCCAGGTGGGAGAGCAGCATGTGGGTGGAAATGTGCTGTGGGCAGAGCGGCCCAGCGTGGCCTGGCCCTGTGTCCACGGAGTATTTTATTCCGTCTGGGGGGCCCAGCGGGCGGAGGGGCCCAGCGGGGGGAGGGGGCCCAGCTGGGGGAGGGGGCCCCAGCGGGCGGAGGGGGCCCCAGCGGGCGGAGGGGGCCCCAGCGGGCGGAGGGGGCCCCAGCGGGCGGAGGGGGCCCCAGCGGGCGGAGGGGGCCCCAGCGGGCGGAACGGGCCCCAGCGGGCGGGGGGGGCCCCAGCGGGCGGGGGGGGCCCCAGCGGGCGGGGGGGGCCCCAGCGGGCGGGGGGGGCCCCAGCGGGCGGGGGGGGCCCCAGCGGGCGGGGGGGGCCCCAGCGGGCGGGGGGGCCCCAGCGGGCGGGGGGGCCCCAGCGGGCGGGGGCGGAGGGGGCCCAGCGGGCGGAGGGGCCCAGCGGGGGGAGGGGCCCCAGCGGGGGGAGGGGCCCCAGCGGGCGGGGGGGCCCCAGCGGGCGGGGGCGGAGGGGGCCCAGCGGGCGGAGGGGCCCAGCGGGCGGAGGGGCCCCAGCGGGCGGAGGGGGCCCCAGCGGGCGGAGGGGGCCCCAGCGGGCGGAACGGGCCCAGCGGGCGGAACGGGCCCCAGCGGGCGGAACGGGCCCCAGCGGGCGGAACGGGCCCCAGCGGGCGGAACGGGCCCAGCGGGCGGGGGGGCCCAGCGGGCGGGGGGGGCCCAGCGGGCGGGGGGGCCCAGCGGGCGGGGGGGCCCAGCGGGCGGAGGGGGCGGAGGGGGCGGAGGGGCCCAGCGGGCGGAGGGGCCCAGCGGGCGGAGGGGGCCCAGCGGGGGGAGGGGGCCCAGTGGGCGGAGGGGGCCCAGCGGGCGGAGGGGCCCAGCGGGCGGAGGGGGCCCAGCGGGGGGAGGGGGCCCAGCGGGCGGAGGGGCTCAGCGGGCGGAGGGGCCCAGCGGGGGGAGGGGCCCAGTGGGCGGGGGGGGGCCCAGCGGGCGGGGGGGCCCAGCGGGCGGGGGGGGCCCAGCGGGCGGGGGGGGCCCAGCGGGCGGAGGGGCCCAGCGGGCGGAGGGGCCCAGCGGGCGGAGGGGCCTGCAGGCAGAGAGAGGACGCGAAGGGACCTGGGCCTGTGCACTCGCCTCAATGGCTCCTCCCACCTAAGGGAGAGAAGGAATCACAAAGCCGCGCTGTAAGGGCAGCTGGGCAGGGAGACGGAATAAAATACTCCGTGGACACAGGGCCAGGCCACGCTGGGACCGGGAGGCCTCGGGGCAGCAGCGGGCTCTGAAGCGAGGAGCAGAGCCTGCCTCCCACGCGGAGCCAGGAAGGACAGCACCCACTGGCCACGGCCTGGCACCGAGGAGGAGGCCTGCGGGCCAGAGGCAGCTGCAGGGTGCGTGCATTGTCAAAAGGCCCAATTATGGCCTTGAAGGCTGTCACGCCTTTAACAAAACACACAGCCTGTTGCGAATGTTCCCCGAGCGAGTCTGCCATCGCAGCAGACTGCACAGCAGCCCTAACGCAGTGACCAGCTCCGCCCTGGGTCCGGAGCGGCCGCGTCGTTTACTGAATGCAGTGTGCGTCAGGCGACTTCCCAGGAGGACTAAGCTCACCCCGATGGGCAGCTACGAGTCAGCTGTTCACAAAGGAGGAACTGGCAGAGCGACCCGCAGAGGGGACGGTTGTCACAGCTGACCCCGGGCCCGAGCTCCGGCTGCTCTCACACACAGTGGGACAGCGTCCCCGCGGAGCCAGCCCTCAGAGAGGACGGGAGGGCGAGACCCTGACAGGCCTGCTGACGCTGCAGACCCTCTCCAGGTCCTGTTTCTGACAGCCGTTTGACAGCGGTCCCTGGGTCAAAGCCCAAGTAGGAAACTGACTAAGAGCAGCTTCCTTGCTCCGCCGGCCTCCTGTACTTCAGACTGACCAGCTGGTGCAAAAATTGGACTTGCAAACTAGGTCCTTTGAGATAACCTGTCAAGGGGCCTCCAAATGCAAGCACTTCTGCAGACGACAGACACTGGACCACTCTGCAGGCGGCTCTCGGACTTTAAAACACCGAGGCTCAGCCGCTCCTCACATTCCCTGTGCCCACGGGCTCGTGAGGCCCATCCCCATCCTGCAGGGGTCCCGCCCCTGCACCCAGGGTCCTACCTACCGAGCCCACACCCACCAGCGGCCCCGCCTGTACCCAGGACCTACCTACCAAGCCACACCCACCAGCGGCCCCCGCCTGTACCCAGGACCTACCTACCGAGCCCACACCCACCAGCGGCCCCCCCTGCACCCAGGGTCCTATCTATCGAGCCCACACCCACCAGCAGCCCGCCTGCACCCAGGGTCACTGTGCTTTTGGGAGGAGGTAGGCCTCAGAGAGCCAGGCTTCCATGTGGTCTTTTAAAAGTCTTGCTTACTAGAATTCCCTCTGGCAGTAGTCAGCAAACTCCTTAGTCAGCAGAGCCAACAGTGCAATGACTGAAATTCCTTTTGAGAGATAATTTTTTTAAACTTAAACTTCTTCTAACACCACTTCTTCAAAATAGACTCGCCCAGGCCGCGATATTTTGTGGAAGAGCCACACTCAAGGGGCCAAAGAGCCGCATGTGGCTCGAGAGCCGCAGTTTGCCGACCCTGGCCCTATGGAATGTGATACCAACTCCTTCATTGTGAACTTTATGGGACATCAGCTGACGTGTCCGAGGTGCAGGTGCTGAGCAGGACAGGGAACAGGCAGGCTCGGCGGCCGGGCCTGTGTCCTGCATAGGCTGACGGCGGCTGCACCCTTTGTGGGGCTCACCTGCCTGAACCCCGGCACACCACAGTGCGGGGAGCCTGTGGGCCCGTGTTATTCACCATCCCTGAATAACAGCGTGTTCCTAATTATTATTATTTTTCAATTCCAAAGAGACAACTGAAGAGGATAACAGAAGACAAGGACGAGGTCCTCCCCACGCACCTGAGAAGTTCCTGGTGGCCAGCATGGTGGTCAGGATGGCGCCCTGCCAGGGAGAAGACAGGTCAATAGCGCTCTGCAACCTCTGACCCAACACACAGGCCGACGGCCTCCCAGCCCGACGGCCCCGGCCGGGAGGGGCGGCACACGCGGTCACAGCCCTGGTGCCCCGCCACGGTCCCTTCCCGTGAGCCCCAGCACCCCAACCCTGAGACAAGTCCCGAGGGGGACCACAGCACTCTGTTCAGGTCACAGCCCCCCTTACAACCCTGCCCCCCCCCCCCCCCCCCCGGCTGGCCTCCAGGAACGCCCCTCGCACCTTGAGCTTTCTCCGTGCGTTGAACTTCTTCAGGCAGTCCACCGTCTCCTGCCTGTGCATCATGGAGGCCACCGTGGAGCGTTGCTGTGGGAGGGAGGGACGTCATCCAGGGCTCCCACCGAGCACCCACACCCGCCGCACGCACGCCAGCTGTTAACTCCCTTCAACACAAGGCTCGTCGGACCCCCACAGGCCTGCCTCTCCTGACTCAGCAACGCAGTTAGCACCCGACGTCTGACCCACATCCCCAGGCGTGACAGCAATCCACCCGCAGCGCTCAGGCTGTGTTCTCGGCACGTGCACAGCTCTGCCCGGCCTCCGGCGGCCTCTCTCCGCCTGCACAACCTCTCAGCTGCCAGAGCTGGTCCCCTAAAGCTGCCTGCCGGAGTCCTGGACGTGGCCCCTTCCTCCTAGGAGCCGTGCGGCCCGTGTCGTTTCCTAACTCCCGCTCGTGAACGCTACTAGCAATGGGGAGGCGGATCTCGCTGTGTGACAGTAGGCTACGTGGACTGGCCATGTAAGTAAACCACTCTGCTACCCAAAATGTGTTTGTAGCCAGGAAATTAACTTCCTTAAGTACCTGGAGTAAAAACTCAATCCATCTCCTCTTTCCCTGCAAAAAGTACTTTAAGCCCCTGAGAACTAAGGTAGCCCTTTCCTCCCTGCCACCGGGCGGGCGGGCGGGCGGGGGCCACTCACGCAGATCCACGGGTGCTTCAGCGCCTCGGACGCGGTGATGCGCTTGGCGGGATTGATGGTCAGCATTCGGTTGATGAGGTCTTTGGCTTCGGGTGTCACCGTGTCCCACTCTGGTGATGGAAACTTCAAGGCATAAACTTAAGTTAGAAGCAGAGCCCTCGTGGAACAGGCAGCAGCAGAAGCAGCATCATTCCCTGGGCAGTGGCCTGCCCGTAGGTCACGCTGTTTGAGCGGAACCGTCCGGATAACAGACAGAGGTGGAAGCACCGAGCTACACCGTCCCTCAGAGAGGCGCTGCTGGGCACACACACTCCGCTGCAGGGTACATCTGGTCCACACGTCCTCAGCTTAGACAATTCTGAGAACCTGTGAGCCCTCTCACAGGAGTTTCGCTCTGATCTGAAAGTGAAATTCTATGCAATCCTAATTATTTACAAAAATCACTCTGGCGCAGCGTGGAGAGCTGCCCTAGGTACGGACGCCCTCGTGCCACTGTGCTGGGCCGGCACGTCCGGCCTGCGTGGGCCGCGCCTCGCTCGGCCTGCCTGCCGGCCCTTCCGAAAGCTGCCCCTCGCCAGGAACCTCCCCAGAGCCGGTCCTGGAAGGATCGCCTCCCTGACTTCCCTCAGGAATCGCTTCACCGGGGACTTCACAGCGAAGCAGTTACCCTGTTTCTTTAAGTGAAATTTTTATTGATAGTTAAGCAACCTCACTCACATAATTAGCACATTTAGCAAAAATGCTCTCAGTGAAGGGTTAAGAGTTCACAATCCGCCTGGCCAGCGAGGCTCAGTGGCTGAGCTTTGACCTATGAACCAGGAAGTCACGGTTCGATTCCCAGTCAGGGCACAGGCCCGGGATGTGGGCTGGATCCCCAGGGTGGGGTGTGCAGGAGGCAGCCGATCAATGATTCTGTCTCATCATGGATGTTTCCATCCCACCCTCTCCTTTCCACTCTGAAGTCAATAAAAACATTAAAAAAAGAAAGGAAAACAGATGTGGCTTACTCGTCCGATTCGGAGCTAACTACGGGTGTGGGAGCCATACAAACTTCTCATCCTCAACAGCCTTTCCAGTGCTTTGGCAGCCGCCCAGCCCAGGAGGCACGGGGTGGGGAGGTGTGGCCGCTGCCACGGGTGGGAGGTGACAGCAGGCTGGGAGATGGTATTAAAACCCACAGGTGGGAATCCTTTCAAAAGCAACATGTTTCCACCTTCAGCTGTTAAAATGCACCGAGAGCAAACATTCTGACCAGACGTCCTGCCTCAGAGACTTGGAGCTCCTTTCCTCTCGCTCTTAGCAGATGTGGGCTGAGGACACGCGCTTCCCTGTGAGGACGACCACGGAGCCTGTGGGTGACCTGCATGAGGTGGAGGCGGCGGGCGCTGCCCTCCGAGAGCCCCCATACAGCCCCGGCCCCCACGTACGTCGTAAGCTCCGGCCTTGATCTGCTGGTAGAGTCTGTGCTGGTCCTCGTCCCAGAACGGGGGGTACCCCACCAGCAGGATATAGAGGATGACGCCTGCAGGGACGAGCGGGAACAGCATTAGGTGGCAGCCTGGAGAGCTTCCGTGGCCGGCCCTGGACCCCGCGGGCAGAGGGGATGGGTTGCTGAGCCCTCGCAGGCCGAGGGTGTGCTCGGAGGCGCTGGGGGAGGGGATCTCATGAGCAAAGTCCCGGCGTCAGCACCAAGACTGCGGCCATGGCTGAGCCGGCCGGCTGGCCCCTGAGCTGAGGCGTCCGAGCTCCCGCACTCGCCGCTGCTCGCTCTTGTGCAGTGTCCGTGTTTGTGTGACTGTCTCTCTGGTCACTTTGCCCCCGTTAGGCTGCGTGTTGAGCGATGGGGCGGGGATAACCTCATGCCCTGACAGCAGGGCCTGGGAGTGTGGCCGGCCTGCGAGGAGAGGAAGCCTCGCTCCTGTGGTCTCGGTCTCACTAGAGTGCAGGTGGCCCACGGAGGCCCAGGGTCCCACTGAGCATGCGTTACAGGAGGGACATGAGGGAGAGGAGGGGAGGCCTGCCCCAGGTCCCCGCCCAGTCTGCACCACCGGCCCTCCCTCCAGTGTTGAGGGTTCGAGGGCAGCCACACACCCGCTCCCGCCACAACACCCCTCAGTGCCCGCCTGTTAAACTCAGTAGCAGAAGCAGAGCTGGGGGGGCTTACTGCAAAGCCAAGATTGCCATTAATACATAGAAGGGAGTGAGGGTGTCGGACATGCCCACCCCAGGGCCCTGGGCCAGACTGAGGAGCCGCTCAGTGAGGGGCAGGCAGGCAGGAGCACACCTAGGCTCTCACCACGCCAGCGGACATCCCAGCCTTTCGGAATATCCGCTATTTGCATGTCAGTCGCTTTGCAGACTATAAATTACCTGGATGTAAAGAGCGCCCTATGCCTGCACATAATTCCATGGGGCACCACCCTCCTGTTCACAGCAAGGCAGCCACTGAGGCAGGACGGGCGGGGTGGCAGGGGCCCAGCAAAGACTGACCAACGTGGGACCTCCCGGTTAAATGACAGGCACATGGCGCTGCCACTGATGAGGCCACAGGAAGTGAGCGTGGGACAGCCCACCTTACAGCGCCTTAGGGAAGGGCTTGTTTTTAAGTAAAACCAAGTGGCTTTAAGAATCGAAGTTGTGCCAGCCTGTCCAGGCAGCGGGAGCCATGCGCAGCCCAGAGGGGACTGTGTCCATGGCCCCACAGGACCGGGCTCAGAGCACCTGTCCTGCCTTCTGCCAGCCTCTTCCAGGGCAGTGAGCTCCTGGAGAGACTGCTGTACACCTGTGCCCGGACCCACGGACAGCCAGCTCCTTCTCCAAATGGCACTCGCCCCTTCCCAAACAGGAGCACTCTGCAAACCCAGGCTCCGCGAGCTGCTGAGGGGACAGAGGCCCAGCAGGCTCCCCGGGGCCACCACACCCCTCACCTCAGTTCCACTCAGACCAGCACCCCAGGCCTCTCCTGTAACGGGGAACAGGCTCCTGCGTCAGAGACAGCAAGCAGGGCCTGCCCGCCCTCCCGGGTCCCTCGGTGCAGATGGAGAAGGTCCGATCTAAGCCTATCAGCTCTGCTGCACCAGACTGCGGGGAGTCTTACCGCAGGCCCACATGTCCACCGGCTTCCCGTAGGGGTCCTTCCGCAGCACTTCTGGAGACAGGTACCCAGGCGTGCCAGCGAAACCTGCAGGCAGAGCCAGGAAGTGGGCAGGCGGACGAGGCAATGGGAGGTGGAGACGGTGAGGGAACTTTCTGCTGTCAGCAGTGTGTCCGGTGAGCTGGCCTCAGGCAGGAAGACAGCTTCTCTCCCAGGCTGTGCACGCTGATCTGCTGCCCGGGGGATTGGGACCAGCTAGCTGGTCCCAACATGAGCCCCTGTGGCCCCGAGCGGCCCCTGTATGTGGGGCTAATGCTCCCTGTGAGGGCGAGGATGCACCACGCACATGGTGAGGGCTCCTGCCCCCCCTGGGCACCATCAGCAGCCCCCAGTTCCTTGCAGAGGGTCCCCTGCACCAGGAGGGGACCCCACGGCACCAGGAATGCGGAGCGATGCTGAGGAGTCTGTGGAACAAACCCACTAACCTCGCCTGCGTTCCGCATCTTCCGCACCTGCCACTTCCCCTGGCTTCCCCCAGACCAGACCCTTTCTCTTCTCAAGTAAAATTACGTTAAAAGCCCGAAGCCCTGGCATTACACACGACAAAGCAAGCTCTGTTCTCCTCACGAAGGTGAAAAGCCCTCCCCACTGACACCACCTTTTACCAGGTGACACGGGTCAGACACGTGGGCGCTGAAGGCAGATGCTGAGCAGACACAGAGGAGCAGTGGGCGCTAGCCAGGCCTGCCTCCCGGGCCCAGGACCCGGGGCCCCACGCGCCCAGCCATCCCATGCCTCCCCATGGCTGCACGAGAACTCACATGTTCCTCAAGCTTAGCAACGAGGGTCCACGCGTTAGAAATGTGCACTTTTACAAAAAGGCGCTTCTCTAATGGACACCTGAGCAAGAGCCGTACATGGGGGACGGGAGCTCCCCCCACGCACCCAGCTGCCGGGACCAGCTGCTGCCAGTGAGTGACTGCAGCTCACACTGGGGCTTGCCGGCCTGCCTGTGAACTCGCCTTCTGTGCACCCACGAGAACGAGTGAGGGTGTCCACCCCTAGAGTAATCCCTGCTCCCAGCTCCCGGCTCAGCACACCCCTCCTCACGCAGACACTGCCGGGAGCTGGAGCGCTGCCCAGGACGTGGCTCCAGGAGCAGCCGGGGGGGCAGGAGGAGCTGTCCTGGTGCAGGGGCCGCTGTTGGTGGGTGGAGCGGGGTGAAAGGCTCGGGTCCTGACTCAGAAGAGCCAGCCCGCCCACACACCCCGCCTGCCTCCCGGGCCACGGAGCTGACACGGAGGGTCAGGAGCACAGACGGCCCCTGGCACTCAGGCCAGACGCTGGTGCCACCTCCGCCATGGCTCTGGCCACAAGGCCCCGTCTATCCTCCTGCTCCCGGCCATCCTCCTCTAATACCCCCTCACCCCCCCGCCTCGAGGAAGGGAACCTGCTGCGCCCCTCCCACCCCATTCACGCCGTCCTCACACCGGCACGCCTGCACGCCATGTCCCCCCTGGCAGAGGCAGGAGGCACCCCCACCTACTGCCACCCGCCCGCCTGCAGCTTCTCACTCATCCTGAAGCCAGGGCAAGCAGCCCCTGCACTGGGACAGGCTCCCTCCTGCCTCCACCGACCCTGGGCGCTGCGCTTCAGCACCCCCCCCCCTTCTCTCCCCCCTCCCCCTCCCAGCCCGTGCCCGGACACCCTTAGCGCCTTGCCACGGAACAAAGCCGAAAGCCCCCTCCTTCAGGACGGCTGAGTGTGCCCAGCGCTGAGGCCGCCCCGTCAGCTCCTCACCCAGCTCCTCTGGCACAGGCCCTGCTGTGTGTGCCCAGCCTGCTGCCAGACCCGCCAGGCTGTGTTCTCCGTCCCTGTCAGCCAGCTCTCACCCAACACCAGGCACCTGAGTCTCACGCTTACAGAACAAGTCCCAGGCTCCACCTCCACCTGTCCTCCAGGGACAAGCAGGAGGAGGGAGGACTGCGTGGGGAGGCATACGGCATGGGAAAGGCCGCAGACAAGAGCCGGTCTGGTCCACGGACACAGGACGAGGACCAGGACAAGGGCAGCAGTAGGAAGTGAGGACCCCCATCGCCGGGAGGCCGCCATGCCGTCCACCATCACCTGGCAGGAAGGCGAGGGGCGGGCAGCAGGCTCTGGGCACGGCCAGGAGGTGGGCGTGTTTCGGGCACAGGCCCGTCTGTGTGGACGGGGGGGAGACTGCAGGGTGTGCCCGCTGACAGCTGTTCACAGGAAAAGGACTAGAAGCAAAAGGCATCTGAAATGCTCTCTCATCGCCACCGCCGAGCGTCAGGAAGGGAAGGAGACCGAGGCGCCGCAGGTGCCAGCAGGCGCGGACCTCAGTGCAAAGGAGCTGTGCAGGCGGCCGCCGAGGTGGTCCCGGCTGGCAGAAACGCTGCCATCTACACTGGTTTAGCACCACCTCCTCCTTCATTGGAGGAAAACAGCGACTTCATCGTATAGAAAGGTCACAATTATCACAATTTTAAAGAGGAAACTGGCCTTCTAGAGAAAGGTTGCTTAAGATGGAACTCTGTATCTATGTACGAGTTCTTGTAACTATTTTTTTAAATATATTTTATTGATTTTGTACAGAGAGGAAGGGAGAGAGATAGTCAGAAACATCGATGAGAGAGAGTCATCGATGAGCTGCCTCTTGCACACCCCCTACTGGGGATATGCCCGCAACCAAGGTACATGCCCTTGACCGGAATCGAACCCGGGACCTTTTAGACCCCAAGCCGACGCTCTATCCATTGAGCCAAATCAGTCCCGGCTCTTGTAACTATTTTTTAAATTTTCCACTTACTGATCACAGACCTGGGAGCGCTCTGCAAGATCCCCTGAACTAGCATCGTCTCAGCCTCAGTGAGGCTGGCGTGGCACCCCTTTCCTCACAAGGGAAGCTCGGGGGCTCCGAGTGGTGTCTGTCACACTCTGGACCCCTTCTCGCTCAGCAGAGTCCCTGACTGACGCCCTGCAGTGCCAGGAAGGCTGTCTGGCAGCCCATGTTTCCAGCTGGAGCCAGGAACCCGTCCCCACAGTCCTCGTCAGGAGTGGGTGGTGACAGGGGGGCTACTCACCGAACCACGCCTGCTGGTCCCCTTGAACCTCGATGGCGAGGCCGAAGTCCGCCAGCTTCACGGCCGCCCCCTTGGACTTGCTAGCCAACAGCAAATTCTCCGGCTTGGGTAGGAAGGAGAAAGACGGGACCCATCGTGAGTGACTGGACTAACGTGTTCTGTGATCAGGGAGCAGCCAGCACGCACTGTCCTCTTGAGGCGGCTGTGCCTGACCCAGGTGGACGCTGCTGGAAAGGACGCTGCCATGGTGCGGGTCAGACGGATCGCTGGACAGACCCTGGGCAGGAGGGAGAGTGCTGCCCGCTCCCAGGGCACGCGTGGTCCGGCCGGGCCACAGGCAGTGGCTCCGAGCCTGCAGAGCAGACACTTAGCAGAAGAGAATGTGGCAAAATGATACCAAGAGTTGGACCAGTTTACACAGGGTATTTTTGGGGTCTCCCATGTACGTAGCACACGAGTTGTTTTCATTTTCCAGGGTTTGTGTGTGTGTGTACTCGGCGCAGGGAGCTTCCGGCAGCAGCACGTGATGACAGCGTGCAATCAGACGTCTGCCCCCATCAGCACATGCGGGTGAGGCCGGCACTGCTGTTCCCGGACTGCCTGGCCCAGTGCTGCCCTAGCCTGGCTCATAGATACTTAGTGGCAAAAAGCAGAGTGACTAAATGGATCATGGGATTTATCACACACACAGCTTGTTCCTAAAATACCTAGACCAGTGGTCAGCAAACTGCAGCTTGAGAGCCAAATGTGGCTCTTTGGCCCTTTGAGTGCGGCTCTTCCACAAAATACCATGTGCGGGTAGGCACATTCAGTGCGACTGAAACTTCGTGGCCCATGCGCAGAAGGCGGTTTTCGGCTCTCAAAAGAAATTTCAAACATCGTATGTTGATATTTGGCTCTTTTGACTAATGAATTTGCTGACCACTGACCTGGACAAACATAATGCACAAATACATTCTTTAAAGTTTTATGTGGTTCTCAGAAAAGTGGAATTGTGATTTTAGATTTGTTCACAGTGTAGAATTCATAACTTGATATATGTACTACCATGTGAACAAGAATTCACTGACTATGTCTCACGTTCACCCCAAAGGATGAATTTCTCTCTTTTCAGCTCATAACTATCTCCCCCCACCCCCATGAAATAGCATTTAAAATCCTCCTAAATCCAGAATTACTACCTTCATTAACATCTCTTTGTCTCTCTATATCATCTATCAATCCATCCATCCCACACCTACCACCCACCCACCCACCCACCATCCGTCCACCCACCATCCATCCACCCACCTACCCACCATCCACCCACCTACCCATCCGGCCCTAATTCCCACCCCCACCTGCCCCTCCTGCTCACTGCTGGATACCTCTGCATTGTCTGCAGTCCCGGGGCTCTGCACCAGGTGCCCATCGCCTAGCAGCCCCCGTGAGTGTCCTGCAGGTGTGACTGTATCAGAGACACTCGTCTTCTCTATTCAGTACTCAGTGACGTGCGAACAACCGCCTTCCCTTAGCGCTGCTTTTGCTAGGCACCTTCTCAAGGTGCGTTCAGCTCTGCTCCAGGCCCTGCGGCCCCCCAGCCCCCTGAGCGCTCAGCTCTGCACCAGGCCCTGTGGCCCCCGAGCTGCAGCAGTGCCCCCCGAGGGCTGAGACAGCACCCCACACACCCACTGGGCCTTTAATGATGAACAGCAACACTTGGCTTCTCTCTGACGGAGGTGGATGGCTGAGCTGTGCTCACACGTCTGCATGGTCCCTGAACCAGCCCAGGAGCCGGGCCTGAGAACAATCAGGGCAGCACTCAGTGTGGAGCCAGGCAGAGGAGTCCAGCTGTCCCCTCTCCCATTCTCAGGGGAGGCACGTGGACACCGCTCAGGGCGATGGCGAGCCCAGGAACACGCAGGGGCCAGGGAAGAGCGGCCTCCAGGGGAGCAGCCTGGCAGAAACAGGAAGGAGCTCTCTGAAGCTCACCCATCCCCTCCCTCAGAGGAGAATAGAGCAGAAACTTGTCCCCACAAGAGCCACGTGGGGCAATGCTGCACCTCCTGGCTTGGCAGGAAGCAGTACTGCTGGGCAGCGAGCTGTCCCGAAGGCCCTGCCTGAGCCTCTAACTCTGACTTCAGCTAGCAGGTCAGAGAGCAGCTATGCGCACAGTCACTTGCCGCCAGCGCTGATGCATGCTCCTGTCCGCAAAGGGCTCAGCTGAGCTTTGACACCAACAGACATCCACATCACCATCTCAGAAAATGCACAACCAAGGTCCTGAGAGAGAAGTCACACTTTCCATCCTTGGCTCTCAGGCCATGGCTTTCCACACAGAGTAAGATTCCAAATGACCGGGTTATTACACCGAGCACCGACGCATCACATAAAACGTGCAAGTCCTGGATGTTCGCTGGAAAGAAGAGTTCTGGGTTCTGACGAGGAACAAAAAGGGCTGTCTGTGCGCGCTATGGAAGGAACAAGGTCACCAGAAAAAAAGGATTTTCAAAGGAATGTGCTGTTCCCCTTATTCCGATGCTCAGGGCTAGTGGACGTGCCGTCCAAGCGCGCAGTCCGAAGGAAACACCACTGACCACGCCTTTCAACACTGAATGCTCTCAGATGCGAACAGGTCAAGGGAGGTTCTGGAAATGAAAGCAATGCTTTGCTTACAAATCTCATCTTCAAGTAACGCGCTGTGGATCTTTAAAGAATATTCTTCCAGGACATACGAGGAATTTATAGTCGATTCTAACTAGAGGTCTGCCCGTGAGAAACCCCAGGGGCCCACCGGACACACAGCCGCTCGAGCCGCTGCCCCAGGTCCAACCGAGGCCAGCCGAGGTTTCCAATGAAGACCCACACGGCTCACATGGCGCTCACACGCACAGATGCTTCTGCCCACGGTCTTCCTTCATTTCCATTTCTCGCCGTCACACCTCTGAACGGCACAGGCACAGCCGGGGTGCTGAGAACTCTCCTCCCGTGGCTTTCCAAACCTCCATTTGTCCTAGTCCGTGGTATGAAGTGGTACGAGGAGCTGAATGACATTCTACACGTCAGTTTGTGCGCATGCTCCATAAGCCCTATTGGGCCAGAACACGTGCCCACTGTCTTCGCCTCACAGGCGCCAGCTGTCCCGGGAGGCACTGAGGAAGCACAGGAAACCCGGCGCCCTCAGCCTTCCTGGGCTGGTCCAGGGAAGGAGACTCCATGTCCGTCGAGTGGGCTACTTGTGACTGCCTCCAGCTCTGTCACCCGGGAACGTCTACTCACTATTGGGCCCATGGCCTGGCCCTGTCTGTCCGTGTCCGCAGACGAGTCCAGGTGGAGGGAGTGCATCGCGCTGCTCGCCGCCCGCCGGAAGCTCTCCTGTTCTGGTTCAGGAAGTCGTTTCTCTGAGACACGGAGCCGAAGGCTCAGCCGGCGAGGAACTCGTTTCATCCTGAGCGGGAACGAGCCCACGTTCTCCAGTGGATCTGCCGCAGGCAGGACTGCGGTCCACAGTCTGGGCACCACTCACCTTCATGCCCCAGGCCACGCCCATCGGAGGCAGGGGGTGGCCGGGCAGTGAGTGCAGTGACTGTGCCGACACCAGGGCCAGCGTTGGCCCCTGGCACACTCAGGAGCCGCCCTGCCTGGTGGACAGCGGCGGTGTCACACCTTCCTGGAAGCAGACATTGCTCCCGCAGTGACCCCTGCTTCGGGACAAGCAGGATCCTGCCAGACGTCTGCCTGCGTGGGCCCGCGTGTTCTAGAAAAATCCACCTCAAAGATGCTTCATTTAGTCCAGGAAATAGATTAGGACACAAAATCTTACAGCTGTTGTGCTCCCTCAAGTGGTTCCCCATTCTTTCTATTTCCTGGTCCCGCTTGGAGGCTGTCAAAGCACAGGGCACCTGGAGTGAAACTCGGATACCAATGCATTCTGAAAAAGCCTGGCTCTGCCTGCCCCTGGGAGCACTTCCTGTCCAGACTGAGGGTCTGGGGGAGCCACCTGCCAGGTCCCCCCCACGGCCCACAGGTCTCAGGACAGAGGTGATGTTCAGTCTGAGGATGGCACACATCATAGGCCCAGGCCTCCAGGCAAGCACTGGGTTAGAAGGCATACCTCCCCATCTGCCCCGCCCCTGGTGCAGCCCCGCCCCCTGGTGCAGCCCCGCCCCCTGGTGCAGCCCCGCCCCTGGTGCTACTCTGCCTCCTGGTGCAGCCCCGCCCCCGGTGCAGCCCCGCCCCCTGGTGCACTGCTTGGATAGGAGCAGGCATGTCCTGCACCATCCTGCCCTTAGGGAGCATCATTTCACAGCAGTCAGTTTGGGTTTAAAGCTGGGAGCAAGAGGGAACCATGTGAAGTGCCTGTCCTGGGCTCTTTCCCGGAAACCACACACTCCTCCAACCAGAGGCAGGGTCGCGGCGCACTGACCTTCAGGTCCCTGTGCACGATGCCGTTGAGGTGGCAGTGGCTCACACTCTCCAGGATCTGCTGGATGCAGTGGCTGTGGAGACATAGGCAGAGGGGTGCTGGAGGACCGAGTGCCGACGGCAGGACAGTCACCCCCCTCCCTCCCCCCCACAAAATCACACTCTTCCCAGTTCCCAGCTGGACACTGGGGTTGAATGACGCTGGATAGAGGCGATTCTGGTCCCAGCACGGGCTCGGTGGCATGCTGGGCTGCATTCCATGGACCCCGCCTGTAAACGAGCCGCTGCTGCCCGGAAGGGCAGGTTCCTGGAGGAGACTGTCCCGCTTCCCATATGACGTGGGAGCCTCCTCAGGGACAACGGCTGGTGTCTCTCACACCTGGTCCCCAGGACGCCCGGGGAGCAGGAAGGAGCAGGTTAGAGGGTCGGACCTGGGGCACAACTACCGTCTGACAAAGCAGTGCTGCTTCGGGTCTGACGTGTCGGAGGAAAACTGATGGGGTCCCCAGAAAAGGAGAACCCCTCGGCAGTTGGGCAGCTTCTGGGGAAGGGCTACGAGCTGAGGGGTAAACTACAACGGAAGCCCTGGAGCAGGTTAAACGTGTCTCCGTGCCAGTTTGCCGTCACCTGTGGAGATGCACAGGTCGTGCCCTCTCTCTCAGGCCCTGCTCCCCGCTGGCAAACGCTCTTCAGTTAGGAGGACCCCCCACTGCGGCTCTTCGTCCCTGTCACCCAACGGTCCTGCCGCGACGTGGGCCCCCACCCAGCAGTGTCCGAGCTCAGGCACACACCACGGCCAGAGGACGCGAGCTCAGGGAGGACCCGCGCCACCACCAGGGCTCAGAGCGGCGCTGCAGGGTGAGCCTGGTGGACAGCGGCCACCTGGTGTATCCCAGGGCAGTGCCCATGCCGGTCAGGGCTGGCGCCTGCAGTGACCCTCAGGCTGTCTACCTATACCACGACTCGTTTGAGTTCTGACAACTTTTCCTAAATCCTGGGGCTTGTTTTCCTTCTAAAATAACACTCACTTTATGCTACTTTTTGGGAAACTCACTTTTTCTCCTCAAACTATGGTACAGGTTCCAGAGCCTGATGAGCCACAGAAAAGAAGGAAGCCAACAGGAACCCACACTGAACGGCCTCCCCGTGCTTCCTGCTGAGCACGGTGGGACCTGAGCTCCCTGAGGACCAAACACGCGCCAGTGAGCTGCGGAACAAGCTCTGATGCTTGTGGCTGGGGAGTGGGCCTTCTCCTCGACTTCGTGTGGACTCCCCTAGAAATGCCCCTGGGAGCGCCAATGCCAGGGGAGCATGCGCACGGTGACCCATTACCCTGAGGCCCTGTGATGGCACAAAGCCTTTATTTAACTTGGCCGGCATTTTCCGATCGCACATCGGCTGCTCCCGTAGCACAGAGCACTCAAGTAAGCCGCCAGAAGCAGAGCCGCCGTGCCGGGGGAGACACAGCCAGCCTTGGCATTCGCAAGGCCTGGGGAGTGCGCAGCCGCTTCTGGGGAGCAGCCGCCGCGGCGGGCAGCGGACGGCGTCGCGGTGTCGTTCCCGTGCTCACAGGGAGCCGCGCTCCGGCTCCGCCGGGCTGCTCGAGGGAAGTGCCAGAGGCTGCTGCTCACTGCTCACCTCCGTGCAGCTGGCACTTTCCAGTGAGACAAAGGGGAGCCACTTTTAACTTCTGTACAAACTGGTCAGTGACACGATGGGAAAGTCCTCTTGAACACTCTGACATACCCGACGAGTATTTTCCAAATGAGGGTCCCCAGGGCGTGAGGACACGCCCAGCTGACTGTGACCTTGCCTCTGGGTGACTCTGTGGGTGCTCGGACCTGCTGCCAATCGTAGCCCCTGGCCCTTGAGATGTGTTCAGTGCGATCAGGCACTGAGCTTTTAATTTTACTTAATTTTAATGAACTGTGACTAGGCACACTGGGCATCCGGGACCTAGAGAGCGGAGGGTGTCAATCTTCCATCTCTCACATCTGCTGAAAAGGTATATTTCTTTAGCAGAAGCCATTCTAGTGAGGCTTTAAAAAATAAAATGCCTTAATCAATAAAGAAGATAAAAAAATAAAATGCACACTCTAACTACAGACACTAGATAAGAATAAGTTTAGACTAGATTCATAGATTTTCCCCCCAGAGAATCATCCTGGAAACCCCGCAGAGAAAAGCCACCACCGAGGAGAGCGTCGTGCCAGGAGCCCTGGGCGCTGCGGAGCGGGCGGCGCAGGGGGCCACTCACCTGGCGTCGGCCTCGCTGTAGTACTCTCTGGCCACGATGTCTTCGAACAGCTCACCGCCAGTCACTCTGTGAGAGGAAAACGAGGTGGCTATGGGTGTGCACCACACTCATATAGGATTTTATTTAAACATTATTATAATAGTGTTTAAAACTGTCAGAACCGCCCCTTCCTGGCGGTCAGTCTCTATAATCTAAATGTTCCTCTCTTGCCTGCACGCCTCTGCCACCAGACCCGAGGACACCACGTCTTTACCCCATCACTCACTCCGGACGCATCTCAGCGGCTGCTGGGACCCTCTCCGAGCAGCTCCTCAGAGTGAGAGCGGAGAGGGGGAGGCGCAGAGGGATGCGCACCCGCCTGCCTGAGGCTCCTCGCACTCCGGGACGGACATGCCCGTGGCCAGAGGCAGCCTCACGAGCCCAGGCCGGCTGGGAGCTGGGCTGTGCGGACAGCGGTTCCTCAGGCCCCGGTTCACCAGGGACTGGAGACGGCTCTGAGCCACATCCCGGGAGGCGGGGTGACCAGCCAGAGTCTGGCCCCGCACAGACCCACCCCTCCCAGCTGGACTCAGCTCCTCAGGGAGCTCACTCACACCCTGGGTTCCGGGCCTCCCAGGACAGGGGTGCCTTGGAGGTGCTGCTTCTCCAGGGCCTACAGGCCACTAGTTTGGGGCAGAACCCTCCGAATTCTATGGCTTAGGTTCCTTACATTCTCCTAAAATAGCATGCTTTTAAATTTCAAAGTTATAGTGTAGTAGGAAAATTTTAAAACTATGGAAGTGCACCAAATACTCCCCTCTCTACACCAATGCCACCCTCTGGAATAAATGTACTTTATGCGCATCCCTTCAACTTGGTAATCTGTAAACGTATATCCTTTCCTCCTTGCAAAGACACAAAGAAAACACTTTCCACCAGTGGGTGGGCAATAGGTAAGTCATTAGGCCACTGTGGCTTGTTCAGTCCGCAGGAGTCATTTTCTGCCAGAAGTATTATAGTTTTCCATTTATAATAAGTAACGGAAGTCACGTGCGTGCATACTTCAGAGCATTTGCTCTTGTACGATGTGGCAGCTACGCAAGGCAAGCATCCGAAAGGTGATGCCAGCCCGTTCCTGCCGGGGCTGGGTGGATGGCCGCGGGCACGTGGTGGACGACAGCTGACTTTAGAGATGCCCCTCTGCAGGAGGCTGCCTGCCGCCTTCCTCTGGAAAAGGTCCGTCGTCAGCTCCGAGCGCAAGGAGAGCAGCCTGCTCTCCTCCCGAGGAGGAGACTTCCTCACAGGCGCTGCGCTGGCGCCCAGGGGCTCCGGTCGCGGAGCAGCAGCAGAAAGGCCTTCTCGCTGCCGCGAGCACATCCCGGGCCAGCGCTTCTGGAGAGCGCTGAAGCGTGTGCACGGTCCAAACAGGAGGCCCAGCTGCACGGAGGCCTCCTCACCGCACCGCGGGGCCAGCACCGCTGGGGTCTGAGACGGAGCCCGCCCCCAGCGCCTGGCTCCGGGAGGCAGACCTGCTGGGCTCGCTGCCGGAAGCAGGGACCCACACCCCGGGAGGAAGCCCAGGCGCCATGTGTGGAGCGGGGGAGGAAAGTCAGCTCCTCTCGCCCAGGGACCCCATGCACCTCCCACTGCGAAAGGCGGCCTGGCCCGCAGGGTGCTAGGCAGACGTTTGCTAAACCAACAAAGCCATGGCGTGCTCTGGGAGCGAACTAGCCTGCAGGCAGCCGGACCCTCGAAGAGCTGGCATCGTGGCAGCGCGGGGACCCAGAGGAGCAGACCAAAGGCCTAAAACGGTCGCGCCAGCCCCTGCACACCCCTCACAGAGAGGCAGCCGAGAGCCTGTAGGTGAGGCAGCTCCAGGCACCGCCTCCATCCTGGCACCTTGCCTGCTGCCCTCCCTGCCGCCGGGCTCACAGCCGTGGGCAGCAGGGTGCCTGCTCTGGGGCTCACCTCCAGTATTCAGCGAAGGGCATGGCATATAGTTAGCCCCAGCCGTATGCTAGCTATCGGGTGAATGGATGTTCTAACAAGTCTATTAGCGGAGAGGGTCTGAGGCACAAAGCTCGGGGCACTGACGCGCAGGCGAAAGCCCGCCAGGCCCATCTCCCGCAGAGGGGCGTCAGCGGGGCCTGGTCCAGGCAGAGATATGGCCGAGGCCCGGCGGGAGTCACCGCCCGAAGAGCCGCTGCCAAACTTAGCCCCGCGTCCTCACACGGAGCCCGCAGCTGCTCCTGCACAGCAGCGTCCCCAAGGCAGCCCCGCCCCAGTGACAAGGCGTCCGAACAGCATCCGCCTCTCCGGGGCCTGCCCACCGGGGCTCAGGCACCGCTGAGGAAGCAGCCTTCCCGAACTTCGCCGTTTCATACGCAACTTTCTGAGAAAGCTGCTTTCCAGGTCTCCTGGAGCAAAACAGGCGGGAAGCGCTCTATGCTGGACACCGCGGCCCCGCCGCTTTCTGAGCAGGCCACAGGGCCTCCCGGGCCCCGCCATGCTCCTCTGGAAACAGGCCTTAAAATGTACATGTCCAGCCTTGAGTCCTGGTCTTTGGCTAATAAATGATTATCACTCGTCTTTTTAATTCTAAACTAGTTAGAAGCTTTCAATTGAGTTTATAAAATTCAAGATTAGAACAGAGGCCCTGTGGGACCTCTGGCCTCTGGCCTGCAGCGAGGAGGCAGACAGTGTCGCTGTCCTAAGAGGAGAAGCTGAATGAAAACCCACAGCTCTTCACAGAGCTGCCCATCAGGTCCCAAGCAGACCATCCTCCTCCCCAGACCCGCAGAGGCCCATGCTGAGAACCCAGTGCCCCCTGCAGCCCAGAGGCTGGCAGGCAGGGACACCGGGCTGTGACTGACCACCCACTGGAGGGTCAGCGAGGACAAGGCCTGAGACAGACCCAGGACCACAGCAGGGACCCAGGATGGTCACAGCTCAAGGGCAAGGGCCACTGAGGCCTGAGGCCTGCTTACTCAGGACCACAGAGCTCTTGTCCAACTCTGTGCCCACGTGACTAACGACCTCTGACCACGTTCTACCAGCACGTCATGTCCACGCTCAACAAAATCGCAAGACACACTGAGAGGCAAAAGCCCGCTTTGAAGGAACTCAACAAGCATCAGAGCCAGAGTCAGATATGGCAGGAAAGTTGGAATTATCAGAACAAAATTTTTAAAAACTATGATTAATATGCGGAGGAAATTAACAGGAAGAAGAGACAATGTGCAAGTAACACATGAGTAATGTCAGGGCAGAGACAGAAGTTCTAAGGAAGAATAAAGGGGAAACTCCAGAATAAAAAAAGACGCACTGTGACAAACGCGCAAAGGGACTCCGGAGGGCTCGCCAGCAGACGCCATCACACCATCACACCCTCCGGCAGAATGGACTGGTCCAGGAGGCAGGAAACCGTGAGGACACGGGGGCACGCGGGAACACAAGTCAGAGGTGAGACTGGCGCCTGGCGCCCAGGCTACTGCACATGCAAGATGCACATCCCTCTCTAGCTCACCTGGACATGCGCCTGACAATGCATTCTGGGCCAGAAAACATACATTCCTTCACGTGTTCAGAACAGAACCACACGACGTCTGCTCTCAGACCACATGGAATTAAACTAGAAGTCAGTAACAAGACAGCAGCTGAAAAACCCAACATACGTGGCGTTTAAACAACATGCTTCTACATCACACACGGGTCACAGATGAAATCGCAACGGAAGTCTAAAAATACTTTGAATTAATCATAAAAGATGGAAGACATAAAATCAGTAATCTAAGTTTCCATAGGAAACAAAAAAGGGGGCAAATTCAACACAAAGCAAGAAGGAGAAATAAAAATTAAAACAGAAGTCAATAGGATTGAAAACAGAAAATCAATAAAGAAAATTAACAAAAGCAAAAAAAAAAAAAAGCTAGTTTTTTTACTAGATCAATAAAATGGATATGCTTATAGATAGGCTAAAGAAAAATGAAGACACAACCTATGAACCAGGAGGTCCCAGCGCCATTCTCGGTCAGGGCACATGCCTGGGTTGTGGGCTCGATCCCCAGGCAGGAGCATACAGGAGGCAGCTGATTAATGACTCTCATCACTGATGTTTCTATCTCTTTGTCCCCCTCCCTTCCTTTATAAAATCAATACAAAGTAATTTTTTTAAAAAAAAGAAGACACAAGTTACTAATATCAGAAATGGAAAAGGAGCTATCACTACAGATACCATGGGCATTAAAAGGATAAGAAAGAGATATTGTGAATAATCAATGCCCACGTTTGATGACCTAAATGAAACCAATTCCTTGAAAGGCACAATCTGACAAAACTCACACAAGAGGGAATAGACAGTAAATAAGCCTACCTATTAAAGAACCTGAACCCATAATTAATAACCTTCCGACCAGAAACCACAACACCCGATGAATTCACTGAAGAGTTACACCAAACACTTGAGGAAAATTTATACTAATTGTTCACAATTTCATCCAGAAGTAGAAGCAGCATCACTCTAACACTAAAACCAGATAAAACACTACAAGAAAGGAAAATTATAGACCATCAACCTTCATGAATATACACACAAAACTCCTCAATAAGGTACTAGCAAATCGAAGTAAGCAATGTACACAACCAATATGCACTACGAGCAGGAGGGGCTTATTGTAGGTGGGCAAGGCCGGTTCACCATTTGAGTACCAATAAATGTTACCCCTCATTACCAACAGACAACAATAGGAAAACCACAAGGTCATATAAATGGATGCAGAAAAAACATCTGAAAAAATTCAATACACATTCATGGTAGTAACGCTCAGCAAACTAGGAAGAGGAATGAATCTCCTCGACTCGATTTTAAAAATCTATAAAATGTGCACTATTACACGTCCTAGTGATAAAGTAGATGCTGTCCCACCAAGATCAGAAAAGGCAAGGGGTGTCCTCTCGCACCCCTGGAGTCCTAGCGATGAAGGAAATAAAATATACACTCTGGCAGGGAAGAATAAAGTGGTCTTTGTGCATAGATGACGTGATTCTCTATGCAGAAAATCCCAAAAGATCCACAATAAAAGTTCTGGAGCTAAGCAATCACAAGTTACGGGATACCAGGTTAATATCTAAAAGTCTATTGATTTCTTATATACTACAAATAACCAAGTGAGATTAAAAACACTATGCCCATTTACATCCCACTTCCCAGTGCGATACTTAGATGTCTTTCACAGAAGGGCCACATGAAAAAAAACTACACAGTGCTGATGAAAGATCTTGAAGAACTACATAAATAAAGAGATTTCCATGTCAATCATTAGGAATGCTTGTTATTGTCCAGATGCCAGTTCTTAACAACTCAATCTATACATTCAACGCAATTCCAATAAAAAACTCAGCAAGTCACCTGTGGAGACTGACAAACTGATCCTAAAGTTTAAATGTAAGGGCAGAGACCTAGAAGAGCCAGCACAGACCAGAAGGAGAACAGAGTGGAGGACCGACTGCTCTGCTAGGGACTGGAGTGTGGAGTTGGTGAGAGAACAGACACACAGACCGTGTGATGAACAGAGCCCAGGAACACAGCCAACCCACCTCTGACACAGGAGCGAAGACTGAGCGCTCACCAATGGTGCTGGAGCCACTGGCCATCCATGTGCAAAACGTGAAGCTGGACAGACCTCACAGTTGTCACAACAATGAACTCAAAGTGGATCAGAGCCCGCAATGTGAAATGCAAAACCATAAAACTGCTAGAAGATAGCTAAGGCAATAGATAGATGACTCTGGGTTCGGCAATGACTTTTTAGATACAAAATCAAAGGCACAATCCATAAAAGAAATCACTGAAAAGCTGGCTGGACTTGGTTAAAAGTAAAAACTTTCACTCTACCAAAGACAATGTCAAGAGAACGAGAAGGTAAGTCATGGACTGGGAGAAAGGATTTGCAGAGATCTCATGAAGTGTGATCTGAAGAGTACAAAGAATGCTTAAAGCGCCACACAAAAAATAAACATTCTGATTGACAAATGGCCAACAGACCTGAAGAGATACTTCACCAAAGGAGATACGGCAATGGCCAGTGAGCTGCCCATGCTCACATGGAGGCAATGAGCAGCACCACGCCTGTCAGTGCACAGGCCAGTACCCGCCCCAGTGCTGGCGGGGGGGGGGGGGGGGGGGAGGAGGGGTGAGGGGGGTGTGTGCAGAGCAGCAGGAAGCTTGCTGCTCGTGGGCATGCACAGGGTGCAGCCCCTGGGAAGGCGGCCTGGGAAGGCAGCACGGCACCTTCTTACAAAACTAAACATACTTCTCAGCTCCAGCAGTCATGCTCCTCGGTATTTACCCAAAGGAGTTGAAAACTTATGTCGACACAAAAACCTGCACACAGATATTTATACGCAGCTTTATTCATAATTGCCAAATTTGAAGGCAACCAAGATTACGCTAGGCAGTTTTAAGAGGAATGGAATTTGCTATGAATAGTGGCAAAGGGTCCTGAGAAGACCACCTAGCCCTTGATGTGTCACAGGCGGGAGTGTGGTGGGTGTGCACCTGAGGCCAGGAGGCATCGCCAGCACAGAGAACAGCCGTACGAACCAGCATGGATGCCCGAGGACGTGGGAGGCCTGTCCACCGTGCCTGTGTGGTGAGCTTGCTGACCTGGCTGTGCACCTCCTGGCACAGGAGCTCGCTGCCGTCCAGGGAGCTCGCCTGCAGGCCGGAGTGTGTGCTCTCGGGATGAAGGGACAGCCCCAAGACGCCACTCTGTCTGCCGCACCCTCGGGCCCTGACACCCGGTAACTGTGCTCAGCGCTCCAAGCAGGTCTACCCCTTGACGTTTTCCAAGCTGCCCCGTACCTTTCTGAACGTGAGCTCTTTGGAAAAGGAATGGTGTCTTGGTTCCCTTCAGTCCCACATCACCATGCAACCATCAGCTCCCGGCCAACGGGTGTGGTTTGAAAAAGTGTTTTTAATATTATGGAATAATTTCAAAATTTGTGAAAATGAAAAGTATACACGGTAAGTACAAAGCATGCCCAGTCTGCCAGCGGCTCAGCTGCGCTCAGAGGGGCGGGCAGCACGCCGCGCTCTCCTGGGCCGTGGCGCTGGGACACGTTCAGAACCACTGTGTCCCGAGCGTCAGGCACAGTGCCGTCCGCGTGTAGGCACCTCTGTGCAGCATGAATAGGACACGAGCACTCAGAACAGAGGGAGAGAGAGAGAAACATCAATGATCAGAGAATCACTGAACACTGAACAGCTGCCTCTTGCATGCCCGCAACCTAGGCATGTGGCCTGACCAGGAATCAAACTGTGACCCCCTGGTTCATAGGTCGACGCTCAACCACTGAGCCACGCCGGCCGGGCTGAAGCAAGTTCTTAGAAAAAGGACATCATGAGAGAAGGGACCCTGGAGCAGTAGGGAGGGAGGAAGGTCACGGGAAAAGCAAACCAGAGCTCTGAGAAAGGACCGCGGGGTGCTGCAATGGAGTGACAGGGCCAGTGCCTGCCACACCAGGTTTCGGCCTCTGCCTCCTGCACTCACGCGTCACCCACATGCTGGCCGCCCACCCAACAGGCAAGACTCCCCCTTCTTCCCAGTGCCAGGCCATGCTGTCGCTCTGAACTGAGCTTCGTGTGACGATCAGGGGCCAGCTCCCAGGCCTACAGACCAGCCCCACACTCGGTCAGAGTCCTGGGGTACGTATCCCTTTGCCAGTCTCGGCTCAGACTGGGCACGGCAAGCAGGGCTAGCTAAGGACTAACACAGCTTCTCCGGTCTGGGGAGGAGGGTGGTCAACACGTGCCAGGAGCTAACGCTCCCATTTCTCCATAAGGGGCGCCTGAGCCAGAGGACACGCCACCTGCGAGAGAGGACAGACAGACAGACAGAGCCGCATTCCTCAGTGCCGGCACTGAAGGGTGCGTGAACCAGATCTACACCAACTGACCTTTAGACTCAATAGTCAAAGTTTTCTCTTTTCTGTTCCCCGAGCGCCACGTTAACAGGCTGGAGCCTGCCCTCGCGGTGAGTTCCGAGCCGCACAGCTCCTCTACGGGGGCTCTCGGGGTGTTTGCTTGCTTTTCCACGGTCTCATTGTAAAGGAGCGGCCATGGACCTCTCTCCGCCTGGAGCTTTGTCTGAACTTAGGACATATTTCCCAAGGACAGGAACTGAGATGTCAAGTGACAGGAGCAGGTCTGATGTGAAGTGTCAAACTGACTTCTGTTCTGGGGAAGCCTCCCCGCCACGTGACGGTGTCTCACACGTCCCACCCAGCCAGAGCGCACAGCTCCCAGCCACCACGGCCCTCAGTCACGGCCACCGGGCCTCGGCCTACGAACCCTGGTCGTCTGTCAACCTTGGCAATCCCCTTCCTCTTGCAGTGACCAATCCTGGCAGCCCCGCGTGTGGGGACGGGGAGGACGGCCCGTGGCGTGTGGGGACGGGGAGGACAGCCCGTGGCGTGTGGGGACGGGGAGGACGGCCCGTGGCGTGTGGGGACGGGGAGGACAGCCCGTGGCGTGTGGGGACAGGGAGGACGGCCCGTGGCGTGTGCGGACAGGGAGGACGGCCCGTGGCGTGTGGGGACGGGGAGGACAGCCCGTGGCGTGTGGGGACGGGGAGGACGGCCCGTGGCGTGTGGGGACGGGGAGGACGGCCCGTGGTGTGTGGGGACGGGGAGGACGGCCCGTGGCGTGTGGGGACAGGGAGGCGGCCCGTGGCGTGTGGGGACGGGGAGGACGGCCCGTGGCGTGTGGGGACGGGGAGGACGGCCCGTGGCGTGTGGGGACAGGGAGGACAGCCCGTGGCGTGTGGGGACAGGGAGGCGGCCCGTGGCGTGTGGGGACAGGGAGGACAGCCCGTGGCGTGTGGGGACAGGGAGGCGGCCCGTGGCGTGTGGGGACAGGGAGGATGGCCCGTGGCGTGTGGGGACAGGGAGGCGGCCCGTGGCGTGTGGGGGGAACCTGTGTTTCTGTGAGCACAGCCAGGTGCAGAGGTAGCAGCGGAGTCTGAGGTGCAGTGAAGCCCCCAGTGAACCAGCCCAGGCCCCTCCCCGACGCTCCTTTTCATACAAACGATAAGCGGGGCCCTCAGAGCCACTTCGACTCCCGGAGGCTGACTGGGTGGCCTCACGGGGCACCCCAGGACACCCTCGTCCCCGAGGCCGCTGCGCTGTAGCAGGCCCTCGGAGCACCCTCCGGAGCAGCGGCTGTGAGGACGTGTGAAACCTGCGGCACCGCCGGGAGGGGCCGGGCACAGGGCCGTGGCCGGCGGGAGGGTACTCACAGGTCGAACACCAGGTAGTGGAAGCCCTCCTCCGAGATGCTGTCATGCAGCCGCACTGTCGGGGGAGAGAGAGAAGGCAGCGTTACACGGGTGGCACCCTCCTGCCCAACAGCGCCCTGCGCGCCGCGGCTCCCACCGCCGGGAGAGCTGGCCTAAGTGTAGCCGGCGGCCACGGAGACCTAACTTGTGAGGACGGGTGCTGCCCTGCCGGGAGGGCGCGGAGGTGAAGGAGTGGAGTGGCCAGGCTGCTGGTGAGGACCCTGGGTGGGCAGAGCTGTGTCAGCCCCTGGATGCGGAGTGCCACCGGCCACACCGTCCTCACAGCAGGGCCTGCCTTCACCGGCACCCCCATCAGCCGACAGGACCCGTGAGAGCGCTCCATTCCTCCTCCTCCCCGCGGACATGGTTTTCATGGATTCTACAGAGGAAGGAGGGGGAGAGAGAAACACCCGCCGGCTGCTCCCATGTGCACGGGCCAGGGTCACACCCACAGCTGTGTGTGCCTCGCCCGCACAGGCCCGAGCCCCTGTGCGCAGGACGGGGGCCAGCCAGGCTGGGGGCGTCTGGTTGGGGTCTCTGCCTCTGCGGCCCCTTTCCTGGGGAATTCCCACACCGCACCCCCTGGCCGACCTGTCCACCATTTTCATTATGACGCTGCTTCTAAAACTCACGGCACTTACCAAGTTAGAAGCCAAACACATGCAGCTAGAACGTCTCATAAAATCACCCACTAGTTCCTCACACTAACGCTGCTTAAACGTTTGCAGGGGGCTAGGCTCTTACTGATAACTAGCCAAGCAAACGTTTCTTTTTTGAACTAAAACTCTCGGCGTCTACCCTGGCCTCTGAGGTTAACACTCATGCAGACTCACACTGCTTGTTCTGTTCATTTCACATAAACCTCTCCCAACTCGCCCCACGGATGGCCAACCCCCTGATCATACCACTGCCCGTGTGCCAGCCTGTCGCTGGGGGCTGTAGGGGCAGGCGAAGCGGCCACCTTGTGGGACCTGCATCTAAGCAGTCAGGACCGGACACGATGTACCACGGCCTGTCCTTAGTGTGTTCTCCACGTGGTGATGACTGCCACGTGGAAAGGTGGACTTAAGAGAACCGTGTAGTTGGATCCAACTACAACCACATGTGAGGGGCTTTGCAGCACCTGCTCCTCCCAGGCTCAGACCCAATGCAAGGCATTCTTTAATTCTTTCTGTTGGTTTGTTTTGTTAATCCTCACAGAGGATTTTCCCCCATTGCTTTTCAGAGAGGGGACCGAAGGAAGGGGTTGGGGTAGAGATAGATAAAGAGAAACATTTATATGAGGGAGACACATTGACTGGTTGCCTCCTGCACATGCTCTGACCAGGAGCAGGAGTGAACCTGAAACCTAGAAAGGTGCCGGTGACTGGGAATCAAACCTGTGACCCTTCGGTGTGTGGCTGACCACACTGGCCAGGGCCGAAGTCCATTCCTGAAGTCCAATGCCAAGCCCTTCAGATTTCATCCTGGCCTGCTACTGAACCTTCTGGCTCCTTCCTCAGGAATTTCCAAGGCAACCCCCCTCCCCCCCGCCCCCGGCACTCCCCCTCCCAACTCCCCACCCCACTCCACCCCACCCCACCCCCGCTGTGGCAAGTGAGCATCCTGCCCTAGCAGGGGCTGCTCAGAACATAGGGATGGGGTGGCCGCACAGTCCCCCCTTCCCGCCTCGGCGCTGCCTGGACGTCCGGGCAGCATGGCTAACTTGCGCTAGCTAAGGGCTGAGCTTTCTTCAGCTCCCGGAACTTCTCACCAACAGACCACGCGGGAGCCGTGCCTCACAAACCCGTTTTCACGCACTCCCACCGGGATTCCGGCGCGCTTCCAGGGCCAGCGCGTCCCCCACACCCTGAGCACCTGCTGCCCACGTGGCAGTGCCGCCCCCCGGAGTGGACCGTGGGCCGCTCTCTCATCTGCATTAGCCTGCTGCCCTCCTCTGCACGGGCGGGAGCCTGGTTTCTGCCAAGGGCCATCTGGATAGCTATCACATCATCTGCGGGTGTACACTTAAAACTCTAAACATTAACATTTCATTGACTCGCCCCTAATGCCTCGGCAGGGCCAGACCGAATGGTTTTGGTGACTCCCACAGCCTGTGGGCCAACATTCCCACCGGGCTGGTCTGCCTGCTCCCAGGCTCGGCCACGGGGTTTCCTGAGGGCCTCTCTCCTCAGGGGCGGACGGGCGGCTGCAGCAGTGCCCGTGCCTCAGTGAGCTGAGGGTTTTGCTTAGAGCCCGCAGTGGTTGTGAGAGGGAGGTGGACTGTTGGCCAGTGGTCGGCAAACTCTAGTCAATGGAGCGGCAAAGGCAGCTTGCGAGCCGCAGTTTGCTGACCGGTTCTAGGCTATGAGGCAGGAGGAGTAAGTCTCACTGTGCGCCTGGGGTAGGAGCTGCTGGGGGCGGCCCAGGCCCAGGGAGCAGAGCGAGCAGGGCAGCCAGCGCCGCCGGGGACCAGGACTCACACCTGCTTGTGGGGGACACAGGTTCCTCAGACCAACAGCCACCGCCGCCCTAGCACTTGGAACAGTCGTCTCTGGGGGTGAATGATTCTGAACAAGTCCAGCTGCTCAGGTGCGATGCATCCTGGTGATCAGACCCTCTGTTTCCGGTTAAAACCAGTCTCAGAAAGGCATCCCGCCAGGCAGCGCAGGACGGTAGAGACAAACCATTTGGCCGGGTCCATGCTCCTGCATCACACAATTCTGGATGGTCCCCACGTGCCTGCCGGCATCTGGCAGGGAGGCTGGTACGAGAAAATGTCAGGACAGCCACATCTTTATGGAAATACGTGCACGTTTCTCCCTGCTTCTCACAGCCCCTGCGCCTCCTTCCAGAAACTGGGAAGTGTTTCGTGTGCTCATCCAACCAGGACACCCCCACTCCACACAGGGGCTCCACCAGCCAGCTGAATTCCAGCCAGGCAGACCCCTTCTCCTGAGACCAGGGTGTGGCCCCGCCCCTCCATTGGCAGGGCCTGGCCCCGCCTCCTGAGACCAGCGCTGGGGCCAGGGCTGGGCTGGGCAGAGCACCAGCAGCACCTCCCACTGAGCGTGCAGAGGAAGTGAAGCTCTTTCTTGGGAACTTTTAAGTGTTTAAACTGGCATGTTTTGAAGACTGGGCTTCACTTCTACCCAAGAGTGGACAGCAAATCGTCGCTGGAGACATCCCGGTTTCTCCTCAGTCACTGCGTGCTGCTCTCGCCCAGGCTGCGACAGTGGAGAACAAGCCCCAGGTAATCATGCCAGTAATCCCACATAGAAACGTGCTTTCTGCCGCTCTGATAACTTTTGGCGGCCTCCCAGTCAGACCTCCCTGTCGGCAGCAGCTCCGTCCACGAAGCCGCAGGACACTGGGCCGTGGACCCAGCCAGTACTCAGGGCCAGGCCAGCCCTGTGGCCTCCACTCGTCCGCCGGCTACAGTCCCTGTCCTGCTCTGGTGCCCCTGCTCCGGATCCCCGGTCCCCGTGTGACGCTGACCCACAGCCTGCGCGGAGCACACACAGTGTGGCGCCAGGACTCGCCGCAGGACGTCGCCGCCAGCTCCGCTCGCACGCCTGTCCCTGCCGTCTCACAGCCCCCCCGCAGCCTCCGTGCGCCTGGAGACAGCACGTCCACATTGTGCTGCGGGGCCACGTTAGCCAGCCGCTCGCCACCAAGGCAGAAACGTGGGCTAAGCAGATGGTGGGTCTGAGAGCTGGCACGCGAGTGTCCCTGCCATGGAGCTCAGTGGCCGCCCAGGCCGCCGGGATGCCCCCAGGCTGATCTCAAACCCCATCTGGAAGTGGCCCGAGGGCTGCTGGGCTCACAGACAAATGTGAGAGAGCAGCGGACGCCTGGGCGTGTCTGCAAATCCCGAGGACTGACGTGCACATCCCTTTCCACTTCCCGGTCCTGGCTCCAGCTCTGTCATCGGACTCAGTGCCATCGCGACGCTGTTCACACACACAGAGCTGCAGGGGGAGAGGCAGCTGTGGGGCCGGCTAGGACATGAAGCTTTCTGATACACACGTTTCATCAGGTCAGTCCACCTGAGACTTCTTTTTCCAGACACAGTATCCCTAAGTATTCCCACTCACCAACATCGCCAACACTCACAGGACCGCCGCACACCCACAGGGCATGTGCTGGAGCCCACACCAACGTCAACTGTAAAAACCAAACACGACCCAAAACAACCGTAAGAATTTGGTTCTTCAGGGAAAGACAGATGGCATTAACTGATTAAAAGGAAGTTTTTAGCTTTTTAAACTTTTTAGTAAGAAATGACTCAATAGCACGCACCTGAGCAACAGCCACACACGCAGCGGACAGTCACCCAGGCGCAAACGTAACTGCCACACACTGCTCTCCCGTCGTCTGCCACCTGTCCAGTCCTCTGCACAGTGTCTGTGACGGCCACGGAGTCCTGTCCACACGCACACCAGCCTGTCCTGGGGCACTGAGCGGGCAGGGCTCCCCTGCCCCATGCTCCTTCGCTGTAGCTCATCCTATAGGTTCTCTCGTGTCAACATCACATTCGCAGGGAAAACAGGACTGAAGAGCAAACTCTCTGCTTGCCTGTCCCCGCCCTCTTAAGCCAGCCGCCACACCCCTCAAGGGATGCTGCAGGGCTCGAGGCCTGGACAGGAGAGCACGTGACAGGAGCGCGTGGGAGCCTGGCCACCAGGGTGCACACGCAGCACGCGACACCTCCCCCCCCCCCATCTCCCTGCCCATCCATCCCACTCAAACCATAGCCCAGAGCATCACTTGCTGGTAACGAAGGTGACGCTTCTTCCCAGGAACAATGCTCCCGTGGCAGGGATGGAGGGAGAGAAGGGAGCGCAGACGGGCCAGTGTCTTGCTCATCAGTGTGTGTCTGCAAGGCGCTGCCCAGAGCCTCATCCACACAGTGTCTCCTGACTTGGTTCCCTGGGTCCGTTCGTGACAGGCAGGACATCATTAGACACTCACTCAGTCAGGCTCTCGGGGTGAGAACTGGGAGCAGAGTCCATGCCGCCTGTGCTAAGGCCTTCA